ACAAAATTCTAACAGAAATTTATTTTAATTTTTTTCAACAGATTTCCAACGAAATTTTTCCAACTAAAAAATTTCGTTGAAAATCCATCGAAATTTTTTTTGGTGCAAAAAAAAATTACTCCCGCCAAACTTTCCAACGGAATTTTCTAACAAAAAATAATCCGTTGAAAATTCGTTGGAAAATTTAAGGCCTCAAAAAAATTTACTCCCATCAAACTTTCCAACGAAATTTTCGACAGATTTTCAACGGAATTTTTCAACAGACAATAATCCGTTGGAAATCCGTCGGAAAGTTTAAAGGCCAAAAAAAATTTAAAACTTGCTAAAATTTTTAACGAAATTTTCAGTTGGAATAAGCCATTAGCAATGAAAATTTCTAATAGAATATTTTGTTTGACAATTCTATCCATATTGTTATTTTTTTAATTTTAAATATATTAAAATTTTTTAAAATTTTAACAGTGTAGTAAACTTCACTACAATCGAAGGATAGCGTTTAATAGAAAAACAGAAAAGAAAAAACCAGAAGAATCCATGGTTGTTGGCCTTTGCAACAGACACTAAAAGCTAGACTAAAACGACATCAAAATGAAACGTACAAGACTCAACTTAAACAAAACGACAACAACACACTGCGTATAACAACAAAGAATTAAAAACAAACAAAATGACATGATGAGCTATCGTATTGCTTTCAGTTGGTTAAGTCTTTATCAGCAACGTTTTGTTCCTTTTGAAAGCCAACTTTCTTCAGCTTCCAAAACTATTACTTCCTTCCAATGACCTTAGTAAGCTTGCTTCACCGATTAAGAATTAATCTTCAATACAACCCCTTAATTCTTGATCTGTTGAACTCCAATGCAGGATCTCAAATACTCAAATCTCTCCTTTCCCAAGCTTTTTGTAAAAATGTCTTGGATCCAAAAATCACGGATCCAAGCTTTAAAACTTGTATTTATACTCAGCCATTACAAACTTTCCTCATAAATCGGATCAAGGAAGTAAACTTCACTACAATCGAATGATAGCATTTAAAAGAAAAGCAGAAAAGAAAAAACCAGAAGAATCCATGGCTGTTGGCTTTACAACAGACACTAAAAGCTAGACTAAAACGACATCAAAATGAAGAGTATAAGACTCAACTTAAATAAAACAACAACAACACACTGCGTATAACAACAAAGAATTAAAAATAGACAAAACGACACAATGAACTATCGTATTGCTTGCAGTTGGTTAAGTCTTTATCAACAACGTTTTGTTCCTTTTGAAAGCCAACTTTCTTCAACCTCTAAAACTCTTACTTCCCTTCAATGACCTTAGTAAGCTTACTTCACAGATTAAGAATTAATCTTCAACCCAACCCCTTAATTCTTAATCTGTTGAACTCCAATGCATGATCTCAAATACTCAAATCTCTCTTTTCCCAGGCTCTTTGTAAAAATGTCAGCAAACTGATCATTTGTTGAATAATGAGCTAACTCTATCTCACCTGCCTTTACAGCCTCCCTCAGAGCATGATACTTAACTCTGATATGGTTTGTTCTTCCATGTTGAACAGGGTTTTTAGCTATGGCAATTGCTGATATATTGTCAACATTGATTAAAGTAGCCTTTTCTTGTTTGAATCCCAACTCATCCAATAGTTTCCTCAACCATAAAGCATGATTGGTAGCAGCTACACAAGCAATGTACTCTGCCTCAATAGTTGACTGAGCTACAACTTGCTACTTCTTGGAACTCTAGGCAAACACAGCACTTCCAAAAGAGAAACAAAAACCTCCTATGCTTTTAGAATCATCCACTGACCCTGCCTAATCACTATCTGAAAACCCCATTAGCTGACTGCTATCCTACTTCAAATACACTAGTCCAAAATCCATAGTTCCTCTCACATACCTCAAGATCGTTTTTGCCACTACAAAATGAGTCTCAGTAGAATCTTGCATGAATCTTGACAACAAACTTGTGGCAAACATTATATCTGGTCTAGTACCTACTAAATACAACAATGAAAGAATTACCTATGATTTGATGGGGTATGGATGTGGGCTGGTTTGTGGATTGAGCATGGGATACATTGTGTTCACAAATGGAAAACCATGGTGGTTGGTTAGGATCATTGAGAGGGGTCAAGAAAAATATGTTATTAGAGGGAAAATATGCAGAAGTGGAGGAAGAAAATAATATAGCTATCTTAGGTGAGTTTTAATAATTCTAACAAGATAACTATTGTTTTTTATTTAAATTCAACATCTCTGTTTGACAAGTTTTAACAAATATTGCCAGGTCGGGAATGTGCCAACTTCCATGATTAATTTCTTTCACATACAGGTCGACGAAAGAGGATCTTAACAAGAAAGGAGATTTTTCAATCCTGGTGGTACGGATTCTATGATCATTATATATATTGTTGTGGAATTTTTTTGTTGTTTGTGTCCTCTATATTAGACCTATTCTCCATTGCTTTTCAATTGAGGTGATTTCTTTTCAGTTTGTTGGATTGGTATATTACTAATATGAGTTGTATTAGTTGTATTCTAATTCTGAATTTAGATTATAGAATGTCATTTTCAACTTGCTGATATATTGATCTATATATCCTACTCCATTGCTTTCCTATAACCATCTGCAACATTCGATTATATGGAAAAGATTGATAAGCATTTTACATAACTTTTTCCCTGAATAAGAAAATACATTAATTCTAAGATCAAACCGTACAGGCAACTTGTACAAGTGCATCATTTCAATCATGGAATTAAACTTGGAATCTTCCCCTTGTATGCAAAATATGTAAACAAAAGCATAAAGGACTAACTAAGATGTAAGTTGCATAATGCCTCTGCTGTAAATTTCAGCAGTTTCTTTGCTCCACCAAGATAAGGTCCTTTTAGTCATAATAAAGACAATGGGCTCTACAATCTATAATTTTGCAATTAACTTGAACCACCTTTGATCTGTCCAACACCTTCATTATCCTTTTGCATTGTCTAATGTTGTCTATAGATCTTACTAGCAGTAACAAGGAGAAAGAGCAGAGAGAGAGAGAAAGAGAGAAATTACAGATTTCCTTGCTATAGGTGCATTAATAGCAACAAGTCATTCCAAAAACTTATGCTGATTATCTCTGAATATGTGTCCAAAAAGGAATATAAATCTAAGTGAAGACTGCCACCCATCGATCATATTCAACGCTAGCCGGGGCCTGAGGCTTAATCTTCTTTGTTAAGGTATCTGATCAATAATGTATAACTGAAAGCTGCCTTAACTTTGCTGAGGAGGTTGGGATCACTTGTTTCTTTCTGTTCCTTATAATATAACCGGTGACAGCATGTAGAATACAGATTGCCTTGGGAGTTAGGACTAATATAAAACCAAACAAATGGATGGGGGACAAAGTAATTTTGCTAGCATCCGGACATAGGTGGCCGAACCAAGTATGTTTTTATCTCTTAGGTGCCAAGTCTTGAGTGGTGTTAGCCACACATGAATGTACTCTTCAAGAGAGCCCAACTACTTCAAGGAACAAGTGAAGAAGTCCCCCCCTGGACATGTTATTATTACCTATGATTTAAGTTTCTATTACGTTGATGGTTTGGTGAATCTCTTCACCAAAGCTTCTCTCACATTGCAATGTGTAAGGCTTTCTAACCATCTTCCCTCTCTTAATCACTGACCAGCTGCTCACTTCCTTTCCACATGGAAAATTTCAGTGCTTTTCTCATTTCCGTACAAAATAAACAAACTATTATATATTTCATTCTTTGCTTTCATCTTTGTCATGGATATATGAACATATACACACATTGTCTCCATCATTCATTTCTTTTCCATGCACTACAGTAGTATTGCTTTCATCAGCCACTTCTAACCTCGTTGAAATATAATTAATCAATAATATTAACAAAAACAAATTCCCAAGTTGATAATATTCCAAATGGATAAGAATTGAAGAAGGGAGATTGTGGCAGGTTGGATTCATTATGTGTTGGGGGCCAAAATAATATTCAAATAATGTGTTGCTTTCATTATTACTTAATTACATAATTATTCAAAAGGAGGAAGACTTGTTTTGTTGACGCAAAAAGCTTCAATTCTTGCCTATGGGAATGCTTCACGCTTTTTCTTCTATGATACGGTAATTTGTCCATTTTACTTTTACTTTTACTTGATTTTTTAGATTCTTTCCACCACGCTTAAATTATTTATATTATCTTATATAGAAAAATAGCTATAAACCATTTCAACACGTAAATATAGTCAATGAAGAATAATTCTACCGTGTCAAATATGGGATTACATTATAATCAAACATTCCAATTTGTCAAATCCATCCTTTACATTATAACTTTTTTTTACTCCGTAATGTTTAAGTTTCTTGGAATTGTTTTTACCTTTTAAATTAGATTACGCCGGAATCTAATCTTCCCCCTCAACAATTTTAAAAGATACATAGGAGTTATGAATGAATTGAGGTGAGTTAAACATTATAATTAATTTCATTAAATCTATAAATATTAAAATAAATTATGGATTTAATCTAAAATTTTAATTTAAATTTAACTTAATTATTACTAGTATTTTTTAAAATGTAAAATAGATGTTACATGAAAAAGGCCGTCAATTAATTAAAATATTGTGCGCTTTTTTCCCCTTTGTCATCATCAACTAAATGGATCTTAAGTAAAATCTCAAATGTGAGCTGGAGGGCATGCTTCACCCTTTAGAAATTATGGAGGCAGGGGATTTCTATTTCCTTTTCCTCTTGTTGCTTTTTGCTTTTTGATTTGTAGGGACTTTCTACAATGCCAAAATCTATAAAAAATATATATTGCCTTGCATGGACTCCATCATAATTTCGTAAAGAATGCTTAACCATAACATTCGAAACATGCATGCACTAGTATTTAAAGAATGAGCATCAACCAATACAATGATTCAACAAATTAACTCAGTTTGTTTCTTTCTTAATTTTCCTCAACCACAAATATAACCTTATGGGAAACATTGGCTTCCTTTTCCCTCTTATGGTGTATGTGGTGGTGTTGCGCCACTTTGTGGCTACTTTCTTAGCGGAATCACCCAACACCTCGACTGACCAATTGGCTCTTCTTGCACTTAAAGACCATGTAACTCATGACCCTCAAAACCTGTTGGCAACCAACTGGACTAGTGCAATTTATGTTTGCAACTGGATTGGTGTCACTTGCGGATCCAATCATCAAAGAGTCACTGCTCTTGATATTTCTAACATGAGTCTTATAGGCACCATCCCACCTCACTTGGGAAATCTGTCTTTTCTATCTTTGCTTAACATCCGATTTAATCATTTTCATGGCTCATTGCCCATTGAGTTGGCTAACTTGTCTTCACTGAAATATATAAACTTTGGCCACAACAACTTTCATGGAGAAATCCCATCATGGTTTGATTCCTTCACTAATCTTCATAGCTTGTTACTATATGGTAACAACTTCTCTGGTGTTATCCCGTCTGCTTTAGGCTCTTTGTCAAACCTTGACACGTTGATCTTGTATGACAATGATCTGGAGGGGCATGTTCCTATTGCAATCGGAAACCTTTCTAACTTGAAATGGTTGTATTTGTACAATAATCACCTTTCAGGTTGTATAATGATCAATTTGCTCCATCATCAATATATCTCTATTGAAAATATTGATTTGAACGTTAATAATCTCATTGCAGGTCAACTTCCATCGCCTCTATTCAAGTGTCAAGAGTTAGAAGTTTTATCTTTATCTAACAATGCCTTGGAGGGAAGTGTGCCTCAAGAAATTAGGAATCTGACTAGATTAAGTCAATTGTATCTTGATCTTAACAACTTCACAGGTATGTTTAATATGGGTCTTTCTTTAGATAAATTGAAATGATTAGTTGGCAATTTATTTTTAGTCAGAGTTGGATTTATAATTCTAATTGTCTTTGAGGTTGAACTTGAAAACTTAGATTTTTTTTTAAATTAAAAAAGAGATTCAAAATTCAAATTTAGTGTAAATGTGGGTGATAAAACTCATTAAAACATGACTTTTTTAATTATTTTTTAATTTATTGGATTTGTTAGATCTCCATCAAGAAAGAATTCATGAAAAATATAAATTGGATTGGAACTTTATACTTTTATGTTAATTAGTTATGCATAAAGAAAGAAAGAGATTTAGTTAAGATTAAATTTTATTTAAAAAAATGCTATTACATATCAAATTCAAGAAAAGACAATATATTAATTATAAAAATCTTTCTATAAATATCATCTGAACAAGTATTTAAAGGTACTCTTAACATTTCCCTTCTTTAAATAGGAAAAAAACACAAATCTTTCATCATAAATTAGGAAGATTTTGACTTATGAGAGGTGAACTCAATTTGTCAGGTGAAATTCCATCAATAATCAAAAGCTTGCTTTTCCTTAAGGTTCTTGCATTAGATGATAACAACTTCACAGGTAATCTTTCTTCTCCTTTTTATTCAATTTGTGCATATCAGAAATCTTTTTAAGCATTTAAATAAAATTTTCATTCTTCAATATAAAAATACAAAACCAAACAATCAGAAGGTTAAGTATTGTAATTCATTACACATTCACAGTTGAAAATTAAAAAAAAAAATGGGACGAGGGAGAGTAGAAAGAAGAAATTATGTGTAAAGTAAGTATTTTAATCACAATGGAGTATCCATATCACAACTTATTGTTTTTCATAGTTTATACACAAAAATTATTAAGTTCCACTAAAATTTGCTCAATATAAATTGTAATATGGATACTCCATCATGCAATCAAGCACTAGCAAGTGGCCACATGCTGTGCAAGGGAAAGTTAAAAGTATCATTTTTTGAGCTATTTTTTTTTTACATTTTTATTGAGCAATTTTTTCTAAACAATATTCAAACTCCTTATCTCTATTCAAATTTGCTCCAAGGTCGACTTCCAACTCTACAACCTTCGTTGCGTGGCTTAAGCGTTTTACAGAACAATTTAATTGGAGAAATCCCTTCATCAGTTTGCAATATGAGTTCACTACAGTATTTTCTCGATTTGTCAAAGAATAACTTTCATGGAATTATTCCAGAATGCCTGGGAAACTTAAGCAATTCTATTGGAATGGTGGATCTAAGTATGAATAGTTTTCATGGTAAAATACCAGGAAACTTTCATAAAGATTGTTTGTTGAGATCTTTTCGCATTAATGACAACAAGATAGAAGGGTCACTACCACGCTCTTTGGTTAATTGCTCAAAATTAGAAATTTTAGATATAGGGAACAACCACTTGATTGACACTTTTCCAATTTGGTTAGGAAATTTAGATCTACAAGTTCTTATCTTGCGATGTAATAGATTCTATGATCGCATTGATAACTTTGAAGGTAAATTTTCCTTCACTCATTTGCGAATCATCGATCTCTCTGACAATGACTTCAATGGCTACTTACCAACAAAATTTTTTGAAAATCTTCAAGCTATAAGAAGTGAGAGTGAAAACAAAGGTGACCCAAAGTACATGATATATTCTGGGACTAATCAAGGTTTTTATTTTTATGAATCTTTATTTATTACAACAAAAGGGTTGGAGATGGAGCTCATGAAAATCTTAACCACTTGGACAATTATTGACTTTTCTAATAATCGATTTAAAGGACAGATACCTCAAGTAGTTGGAGAACTTCGTTCACTTATTGTCCTCAACCTCTCTCACAATAGTTTAAGGGGTCCTATCCCATCAATATTAGGAAAGTTGTCAGCACTTGAATCATTAGATCTCTCATCAAACAAGCTCAAAGGAAAAATTCCACCACAATTAATAAATCTTATATTCTTAGAGGTGTTAAACCTTTCTTGGAATAATCTAGTGGGACTCATTCCTCGAGGCAAACAATTTGATACTTTCACAAATGATTCCTACATTGGAAACTTGGGTTTATGTGGACTTCCTTTATCCAAAAATTGTAGCAACGAAAAGAATTTGGTACCACAACCAACAAAGTTTGATGAAGATGGTGATGTTGTGAATTGGAAATTTTCTATATTGATGGGGTATGGATGTGGGCTTGTTTGTGAATTGAGCATGGGATACATTGTGTTCACAACTGGAAAACCATGGTGGCTGGTTAGGATCGTTGAGAGAGGTCAACAAAAATATGTTATGAGAGGGAAAATCCGCAGAAGTAGAGGAAGGAGGTAATACAGCTGATGCTCTTAGGTGAGTTTTAATTATCCTATGTAAAACAATTAATTATTGCTTTTTATTCAAATTTAAGATCTTTGTCTAACAAGTTTTAACAAATGTTACCAGGTCGGGCATGTGCCAACTTCCAAGGTTAATCTCTTCCACCAGATAGTTTGGCAAAATAAGATCTTGACATGAAAGGAGATTTTTCAAGCTTGGTGGTATGGATTCTGTAATCATTATATATATATATATATATATATATATATATATATTGTGGTGGACTTTGTTAATTTGTTCCTGTCCTCTATATTAGACCTATTCTCCATTGCTTTACGGTTGAGGTGATTTCTTTTCAGTTAGTTGGAATGTTATCACTAATTTCAGTTGTATCGGTCATATTCTAATTCTGAATATCGATTATGGTATGTAATTTTCAACGTGTGGATATCTTGAACTATACTATTTGATTCCTTACATATGTATTTGCTGGAAATCAGAAGTACGTAAGTTGAAAAATCTTAGTAGATTTTTCATATGGAAAGAGATTACATGAAGTGATGACCTTTGTACTATATTACATAACTAGGAACGTAGGTACAGGCACTATAATACCGACAACAATTTCTTTTAAAGTGATGACCTCTGTACTTTGAGTACAAAGTTATTATAAGCTGTCCTCAATTTAATTTCAACAGCCAATAAAAAAGACTCCCGAGAAGTGAAGTTTTCTACCAAAAGAAAAAAAAAAAAAGACTAACCACTGTTGCTGTCAGAGTCCCAGAGGACTGCTGTAGCTTTGGAACATCGTGATTGAGCTATGAAGACTAAAAACAATATTGTGCAGCGGTAGGGAGACTGATAATGCTAATGGTAAGCTTGAGCAACATTGCTTTTGAATGACTGATAATGCTAATGTTGCTAAATTATTAGCAATTACTTAGAGAACCTTGTTGTTTCATCAGGTAGAAGAAAATGCATAACAAGGCTGATTAGATATGGATCCAATGGAAAGAGATAATGTGCTCTACTACTTAGCTAGCTTCTACCCTGAACCGTTGACAGAAAACCCTTTTAATGGAGTATCTCTGAATATTAGGAATATAAATCTTTGTGACTACTGCTACCCATGGATCATACTTTAATTGTGTCTTAAGTGTGAAGTCTTGAATGGTATTAGCCAGACATGAATCATGAAATTGAAGAAAGTGGAGATTGTGGGACAAGAATTGGATTCATTATGTATTGAAGAAAGTTTTTTTTTTTTTCATTATTACTTGTAATAAAATAAGTAGAAGAATGAAATTTTTCAAAAGGAGGAAGACTTTTATATATGTAATTTTAGTCATTGGAGAATAGTTCAACCATTTCATGGACGACAAAATGCTCATCATAATTCACTTGTACTAAAATGCTCACTTGCATTGACTAGATTTAAAGGGGATGGAATTAGTCTACAAAACTCTAGCTTCACCGTGAAGTAGAGGGCATGCTTCACCCTTTCCCTTTTGAGACGGTCATTTCTCCATTTTGGTTTTTGCTTTTCTTTATTTGTAGGGACTTTCTACGATGCCTCACCATGGATAGCATTTAAAGAATGAACGTCAACCAACTCAATGACTCAACAAATAAACTGAGTGTTTCTTTCCTGATTTGCCTCAACCACAAATATAACCTTATGGGGAACGTTGGCTGCCTATTCCCTCTTATGCTATTTGTGGTGGTGTTGTACAACTTTGTTGCTACTTTGTCAGCAGAATCACCCAACACCACCACTGACCAATTGGCTCTTCTTGCACTAAAAGCTCATGTAACCCATGACCCCCAAAACCTGTTGCCAACCAACTGGACTAGTGCTACCTCTGTTTGCAACTGGATTGGTGTCACTTGCGGGTCCCATACCAAAGGGTCGTCGCTCTTGATCATTATTACACGGGTCTTATAGGCACCATAGCACCTCACCTGGGAAATCTATCTTTTCTTTATGAGCTCGACATCCGACATAATCATTTTCATGGCTCATTGTCAGGGACGAATTCAAAATTTTTTCTAAATAGTACTATAATTAAAATAATAATAATAACTTATGATCAAGAGGTTGATATGGTTTTTTTTTTTTTTTATATTTGCTCTTCTAATTTCAACCTAATCAATAGGATGATACTCAGAAAGTTTTTTTTCTCAATCTAAAATCTACAAAGAGAGTACTTAGATTAAATTCAACCAACTTTACTTAAAAGATTGTTAATATATCATTACATTATATAATTTTATTATTGTTATCCGAGATTTCAATCTTCTGAGATAATTTTTTTTTAAATATCTTTCATGTCTTATTCATCTAAAATTATAAAACTTATTAAATATTACTACTTATTAGCATAAAATAAGATATTAAAATTAAATAAAATATGATCTTACTAATAAATTATCAAACTCAACAACTAACAATATGACAATTTTCTATTCATTGATCAAAACTAAATATAAGCATCCACAAACCAAAAAAAGTTAAATATAAAAATCAAATAATCAAATAATATATCTACAAAATAAATTAAAAAAATTATAATTTCAAAATAATATTTGACATGCAATACTATTTTCTATTAACTAAATTATAATTAGAATCTAAACAATCAATAAAAAAATTAGACATGAAGTATTTAAAATTTAATTTGGACTAAAAATTACCTACAATCAAAGCATAGATAAGTTGTTTTAAGAAAGTGAAAAACACAGCCAAAGATCAAGAAAAGGAAATGTTACTGCAAGTCTTAGACTTGAATTTTTGGAGAGAGAGTAGTAGTTTAGATTTTGAATTTTTTAATGAAAGCTTAAATTATAGAAGGAAATTTTTTTATCTTTCCATGTAGTATTCAAATCTTAATATATAAATTACTTTTAAATAAATTTATTTTTTAATATTATTGAAATATTATTAATATAGAGATTTTTTTAATAAAATCTACATTTTAACTCCACCCTCTACAAAATTGTGAAAAAAATTAATGAGTTCATTGATATCATTAAGTATGTAAAACCCTAAATAAGTTATATAATAGATAAATATTTTTTCTAATTGAGGGGTCCTACCTTGCTTATTGCCGATGGGGTTGGCTAATTTGTCTCGGTTGATTTTGGTAACAACAACTTCACTAGGGAAATCCAATCATGATTTGATTCCTTCACGCAACTTCAAAGCTTGTTTCTGCACCATAACCACTTTTTGGTGTTATCCCATCTTTGTTGGGCTCTTTGTCAAGCCTTGAGAAGTTGATCTTGTATGGCAATTGGGAATCTTTCCAACTTGAAAGGTTACATTTGCACAATAATCAGCTTTCAGGTTGCATAATAATCAACTTTCTCCATCATCAATATATTTTTACTGCAAAAGTTTTTTTTTTGCTTAACAATGCTTATTTCAATAATCTCATTATAGGTCCATTTCCATGAGCTCTATTCAATTGCAAACAGTTAAAATTTTTATCTTTGACTAACAATGTCTTGGAGGGCAGTCTGCCTTAAGAAATTGGGAATTTGACTAGATTAAGATATTTGTATCTCGATAATAACAACCTAACAGGTATGCTTAATGTGGACCTTTCTTTAGAAAAATTAAAATGATTTTGTTGGTAATTTATTTTTATTTGTGAATTTAGAATTACGATTCTATTTTAAATTTAGGTTGAACTTGAAAACTTTGAATTTAAAAGAAGAGATTTAAATTTCAAATAAAAAGGGGTATAGCTCTATTAGCATATAAATTCCTACCTTCAATCGTTAAGATCAATATATCCTTATTTAAAATATTGATTTCAACTCTAATAATCTTATTGTAGGTCAAGTTCCATTGACTCTATTCAACTATTCAGGTGCCAAGAGTTGGAAATTTGTTTTTATTTGTGAGTTTAGATTTATGATTTTAATTTTCATTTAAGTTGAACTTGAAAATTTGAATTTAAAAAAATGAGATTTAAATCTCAAATATAGTATAAGTGTGGGAGATAAGGTCATTTGTCCATTTTGCTCAACGTATTCATAATTTTAGTCACTGAAGGATAGTTCAACCTTGTCATGGACAGCAAGAGGATAGTTTACATGTGAAGTAGAGGGCATGCTTCGCCTTTTTCCTCTTGATAAAGATATATTGCATTAAATCTTAGTAGGAAAATTCTGACTTCCAAGGGGTGAACTCAATTTCTCAGGTGAAATTCCAGCAACAATCGGAAGCTTTTCTGTTCTTCGCTATCTTTATTTGGATTATGACAGCTTGATAGGTAATCTTTCTTCTTTTTATCCAACTTGTACATATAAGAGATCTTTTTAAGAGTTTAAATAATGTTCTCCTTCATCAATAGAAAAACACAAAATTAAACAAGCAAAAGGTTAAGTATTGTAATTAATTATACATTCACATATGAAAATTAAAAGAAAAAATGACACAAGAGACAATAGAAAGAAAAAATTAAGTGTCAAGTTAGTGTCTAACCATCAAATTGTTAATTACTAGAGGGTTTCCATCTGTTAGATTAGAATCAAATGGAAAAATCATGTGTTAATTACACAAAAAGGGAAACCTTTTTTTCATAGTTTATCTAGAAAACTTATTAAGTTCGATTAAAATTTAATTTGTCAATATAAGTGGCGATGTGGATGCTCCCTGGTGCAATGAAGAAGAAGGAAGTGGGTAGATAGTGTGCAAGGGGAATCAAGTAAAAGTATCATTTTCGTTGATGTTATACTTGTTGCTGTTGTTCTTTTTGTTGCTTTCAACATCTTTCTGTTTGTCTTCAAAACCACAGAAAATTAATAAAATAGCTAATATTCTTTGGTGAGTTTTAATATGCTTAGCCAATACTCTTAGGACTCGATATGAAGATCCGAATTTCTTAATTTCACAAGTTTTCACAGAGTGATTTTTTTATACCGAATTTGGTATGTTCCAATAAGGATACTCCAACTTTTGATAGATGGGTAAATGGGATTTTGGGACAAGAATTGAAGAAAGTAGATTTTGGGACTTGTGGTTTCTTCTCTTTTATTCTCTTTTTACAGTATATTTACATTTTCCTTTCCCTTTTTAAATAGGTTGTTAATTTCTTTGTAGGTCAAATTTCATTAGCTCTATTCAAGTGTTGAAATTTCAAGTTGGAAAAATTCCAACTCTTGGCACTTGTTTATTGGGAATTTAATCAGCTTTCAGGTCGTTGCATAATAATCAACTTCCTGAATCATCAACATATCTTTATCGCAAATATTGATTTCAACGCTAATAATCTTATTGTAGGTCCACTTCCAATGGCTCTATTCAAGTGCGAAGAGTTGGAAATTTTAATCTTATCTTACAATGCCTTGGAGGGAAGTGTGCCTCAAGAAATCAGGAATTTGACTAGATTCAGACTATTATACCTCGATAGTGACAACCTAATAGGAATGCTTAATGTAGACCTTCCTTTAGACAAATTAAAATGATTAGTTGGTAATTTCTTTTAATTTGGAAGTTCTGATTTATGATTTTAACTTTCATTTAGGTTGAATTTGACATCTCAAATTAAAAAAAAAAAAACAAAAGATTGAAATTTCAAATTTAGTGTAAGTGTGGGTGATGCAACCCATGAAAACATGATTTTCTTAATTATTTTCAAATTTACCGAATTTGTTAGATCCCATTAAGAAAAATTCATTAAAAGGATAACTTGGATTTGAAATTTATACTTTTATATTAATTAGTTATGCTTATAGGAAAACATAAGTTGAGCCTATAAGCACTTGTAAAGTTTTAAACTTTTATACTTGTTAATTTGAAATTTATACTTTTATATTAAATTTTTATTTGAAAAAATATATTTACATATTGATGTACTATTCTTACCAAATTCAAGAAAAGACAATATATTAATTACAAAAATCTTTCTATAAATATCACCTTACAAGCATTTAAAGGTACTCCTTTTAACATCGGAGAAAAAGCACACCTCTTTCACCATAAGTTAATTCTGTAGAGAAAGAAAAAACAGTTGAATAAAGTAGTCCCTTAATTCGTGCTCAACAAAGAAAAGTTGTCTATTTATTACAACATATGTTAACATGAATAGATGTTCCTTTCTTAATCAGGAAATTAATTAGATTAATAGGTAGTGCTGTCAAATTAAATCATAAGTGATTGGCGTGTTAATGTGTACAAAGTTTACAGGTGTTGCTTTGCTGCTTCATCTTCCTGTTTCTTGCCTCTATAACACTCAATTCTAACAGATAACCTCAACAGTTCACAGTTACATTTTCCTTCTTGATCAATGATTTCAATGTATCATACACGTCATTCACTACATCAGCTTCATGATTCTTACAAAATAGAATATAAAGAAGATTTAAGAATCATTGACAGATCAACGGATGATATTGTAAGGCACTGTCCGGCGGGGCTAAGTTTACTCCCATTGGTCTAATCAAGATGTTCAATTCATCAAGGATTTGAAATATGAATCTAAGCAAACAACAACTATTGACTTGAACGTTAGAAGCGGTGGCCTGATAATTGGATTGAAATTCATCCACTCAACCCCAAAGAATAATAACAGTACTTATGGTGAATGTGTCAAAGTTACGCATGAGGTTGAGTCAAGCATCCTTATCAATTTCAAAAAATTTACATAAATTAAAATAAATTGTGAATTCAACTTGAAAATTTAATTTGAATTTAACTTAATTATTAATTTTTTTATCTATTAAACTGTATAATAGATGTTACATGAAAAAAACAGTCAATTAATTGAAATATTTTCCACTTTTTTCCCCTTTTTCATCATCAATTTGACGAAATGGGCACCAATTGGCCTCGAATTATTTCTTGCAGGTTGTATTACTATAGAATTTGATAAAAGAAAAAGTATTAATAAAATTTAAAAGAAAATGAATTAAGTATATATAAAACTTTATTAAAAGCTGGAACACTCACCATCACTCATACACATCCAATCAGTCAAATTTTGTTGAATTTGTTGACACCATAAACGTAAATTATTGCCTGATAAGCTCACGTGCATGGACTATATTTAAAGATGGTAGAATTAGTCAACAAAAGTCTCTGTTACTAGTCTACCAAACAGGAACTTCACCTTGACTTTCTTCAATGCAAACACCTTGGACTTAACGCATAATTTGGTTAGGAATGCTTCACGTAATCGTAATCATAATCATACCTTTCAAAACATGCACGTACTAGTATTTAAAGAATGAGCATCAATCAACACATTGATTCACCCAATTAACTGAGTTGTTTCTTTCTTAATTTGTGTCAACTACAAATATAACCTCATGGGAAACATCGACTTTCTCCTCCCTCTTGTGGTATTTGTGGTGGCGTTGCACAACTCTGTGGCTACTTTGTCAGCAGAATCACCCAACACCACCACTGACCAATTGGCTCTTCTTGCACTAAAAGCCCGTGTCACCCATGACCCTCTAAACTTGTTGGCAACCAACTGGACTAGTGCTACCTCTGTTTGCAACTGGATTGGTGTCACTTGCGAATCCCATCATCAAAGGGTTACCACTCTTGATCTTTCTAACATGAGTCTTGTAGGCTCCATCCCATCTCACTTGGGAAATCTATCTTTTCTGTCTCGGCTTAACATCAGATTTAATCATTTCCATGGATCATTGCCCATCGAATTAGCTAATTTGTCTTCAATGGAATATATAAATTTTGGTCACAACAACTTTCGTGGGGAAATCCCATCATGGTTTGGTTCTTTCACTCAGCTTCAGAGCTTGTTTCTACACGATAACAATTTCTCTGGTGTTATCCCCTCTTCTTTGGGCTCTTTGTCAAACCTTGAGAAGTTGATCTTGTATGAAAATGATCTGAAGGGGCCTATAGCAATCGGAAATCTTTCCAACTTGAAGTGGTTGTATTTACACAATAATCGGCTTTCAGGTTGCATAATAATCAACTTGCTCGACAATCAGTATATCTTTTTTGCAAATATTGATTTTAACACTGATAATCTCATTGTAGGTCAACTTTCACCGGCTCTATTTGATCAAATTCCTATGTTGCAAGCACTGGATTTGGCAAACAACCTTCTTTCCGGTAGAATTCCAACTAGTTTATTCAAGTGCCAAGAGTTGGAATTTTTTGTTTCATCTAACAATTCCTTGGAGGGAAGTGTGCCTCAAGACATTGGGAATTTGACAAGATTAAGCTACTTGGATCTTGATAATAACACCCTCACAGGTATGCTTAATGTGGGCTTTCTTTTAGCCAAATCAAAATGATTCGTTTGCAGTTTTTATTTATTATTGTGCTAAGATTTATGATTCTAGTTTTCATTTAAGTTGAACTTGAAAATTCAAATTTAAATGAAGAGATTTAAATTTCAAATTTAATATAAATGTGAGTGATTCAATTCATGAAATCATGACTTTCTGAATTATTTTCAAATTCACTGAATTTGTTAGATCTTGTTAAGAAAAAATTAATGAGAAAAATAACTTGGATTGGAAATTTATACTTTTACATACATTAGTTATGCATTAAAGAAAAAAAAAGATTTATAAGCACTTGTTAAGGTTGATTAAATTTTTATTTGGAAAAAAATGTTTTTACATATTAATGTACTATTCTTACCAAATTCAAGGAAAGACGATATATTAATTACAAAAACATTTCCATAAATATCACCTTCACAAGTATTTGAAGATACTCTTTAACAGTTTCCTCCTTTCCGTCATAAGTTAATTCAGTAAAAAAAAGAAGGAAGTGGAACAAAGTAGTCCCTTAATTAGTGCTCGACAAATTTTAGAAGGAAGAGGAGAACTTAATTTTTCATGAGAAATTCCATCATCAATCAGAAGCTTACTTCTTCTTGAGAAACTTGATTTGTGCTATAACAAATTGACCGGTAATCTTTCTTCTCATTTTTATCGAATTTGTGCATATAGAGATCTTTTAAATATTTAAACAATTTTCTCATTAATTAATATAAATATGCAAAACCAACCAATCAAAAGGTTAAGTCACATTCATAATCGAAAATAATAAAAGTATTATGATGGAATGCATACTGAAGTTTGAAGATTAAAAGAAAAAAAAATCATTCTCCTGTTGAAGATATTTTTTGTTTAAAGTTTAAAGTGAGCCACTAATCATTAATATTAACAGTAAAATGATCGGTTGGAGAGAGACAAGAGAACAAGGAAATTTTAATTGAGCTAAAGAATTTGTGATACGAATAGTAGTAATAATTTGCTGTCTGTTTCATGACAAAACTCATGAAATTAAAGTAATGTGGGCCTTTCTTTAAACAAATTAAAATGATTAATTGATAATTTATTTTTATCCGTTAGTTTAGATTCATGATTTTAGTTTTCATTTAAATCGCGGTTGAAAACTTGAAGTTAGAATAAGATATTTAAATTTCAAATTTAGAATATGTGTGAGTGATAAAATTCATGAAAATATGACTTTCTTAACTATTTTTAAATTCACCGAATTTGTTAGATAAAGAAAAAAATCATGAAAAAATAACTTGAATTGGAAATTTATACTTTTATGTTAATTAGCTATGCAAGAAAAAAAAAGATTTAGCTAATAGGTGTCTATAAACACTTGTTAGGGTTAGCTGAATTTTTATTTGAAAAAATGGTTTTACATATATATTAATGTACTATTCTTTCCAAATTTAAGAAAAGACAATATATTAATTACAAAAGTCTTTCAACAAGGTCTTTCTATATTAATTACAATGCATTAAGTACCTCAACAAGTATTTAAAGGTGCTTTTTAACATTTCCCTTCTTTACATTGGAAAAAACACAACTTCTCTAAGGAAAAAAAGAAGTTGAATAAAGTAGTTTCTTAGTTAGTGCTCAACAAAGAAAATTGGCCTATTTATTCCAACAATCTTAGTAGGAAAATATTCAGATATTAATGTTGTTTAATTTTCATTATTACTCAATACGTAAAAGAAATCAAATCATTGAGTTAATTGTAAAAAGAGTAAATTCTTGCCTAGAAAGCTCACAGCATGCACTTGATTATAACCTTAACAATGGAAAAGATATTTTAACTTTATGGAAAGCTCTCTGCATAGAAATTCCATACTAATAATCCTTAAGATCAAAATATTTTTATTGCAAATATTGATTTCCATACTAATTTCATTGTAGGTCAAATTCCATCAGCTCTATTCAAGTGCCAAGAGTTAGAATATATATATTTATCTCACAATGGCTTGGAAGGAAGTGTGCCTCGAGAGATTGGGAATTTGACTAGATTAATAGCGTTGCACCTCAATGATAACAACCTAAAAGGTATGCTTAATGTGTGCCCTCTTTTAGACAGATTAAAACGATTGGTTGGCAATTTGTTGTTATTCCTGAGTTCAGATTTATGATTCTAATTCTTATTTAGGTTGAACTTGAAAATTCAAATTTAAAAGAAGAGATATAAATTTCAAATGTAATATAAATGTGAGTGATAAAACTCATGAAATAATGACTTTCTTAATTCATTGGATTTGCTAGATCTCCATTAAGAAAAATTGATAAGAAAATAACTTGGATTGAAAATTTATACTTTTACGTGGATTGGTTACGCATTAAAGGAAAGAAAAGGTTTAGTCAAGAGGTTCCTATAAGCACTTGTTAAGGTTAGTTAAGTTTTTGTTTGGAAAAAATGTTTTTACATATTAATGTGCTATTTTTACCAAATTCAAGAAAAAACAATATATTAATTACCAAAATATTTCTATAAATATTACCTTGAAAAGTATTTAAACATTTTCCTTCTCAAAGACAAAAAGAAGTTAAATAAAGTAGTCCCTTAATTAGTGCTCAACAAAGAAAAGTAGCCTATTTATTGCAACAAATTTTAGAAGGAAAATTTTGACTTCTAAGAGGTGAACTCAATTTCTTATGAGAAATTCCATCAACAATGGAAAGCTTACCTTTTTTGAGGAACTTAATTGGTGCTGTAACAAATTGGCAGGTAATTTTTCTTCTCCTTTTATCGAATTTGTGCATATAAAAGATCTTTTTAAATGCTTAAATAATTTTCTCATTCATCAATATAAAAATATAAAACCAACCAATCAAAGGGTTAAGTATTGTAATTAATTTCATATTCACAATTGAAAATAATAAAAGTGGAACGAGAGACAGTAAAAAGAAGAAGTTATGTGTCAAGTTAGCATTTTAACCATCAACTTTTTAATTACTGGAGGGCTTACATCTGTTAGATTGGACTCAAATGGAAAAAATCAAGTGTTAATTACACAAAAATAAAAAACTTTTTTTTATTTTGGCTCAGCAGAAAACAGCTTGTTTTTAATAATTTATCTAGAAAAATTATTAAGTTCCATTAAAATTTTCTCAATATAAGTTGTGGTATGGATACTCCCTGATGCAATCAAGCACTTGCAAGTGGCTAGATGCTGTGCAAGGGCAATTGAGTAGAAGTATCGTTTTTCTTGATGTTATACTTGTTGCTGCTATTCTTTTAGTTGCTTCAGTTGTGGGTTCTTTGTTCAAGATCTTTATATTATGCTGTTGTCTTAAATCCATAGAAGTGGAGGGTACCTGTTCTTTTTAAGTTTAAGTTATCCAATCCTGAATCTATTTAATATAAAAGGTATCCAAACTCTATTAAAACTCAAATAAAATCGTACAACACTATCCAAAATCGAATCCTAATAATATAGTACTATCTATTAAATACCCTGAATCTGTTAAATACCTAATTAAATAACTAAAACAATAAGTTAAGTAATTAAAAATCATTAAAAAATTTAATTTTTTATTTATTAGTTTACAAAAAAGGGAAGTTGATTAAGATGACAAAGGCTGTGTTGAAAGTAAAGAGGACCCAGAAATTATAAATTTTTAAAATATTATATATAATATTAATATGTATGTGTGTGTGTGCGTAGTATCTTAAAAGTGATACCCAAAACTTACTTAAACCTGAGTCGAGTATTAAAAACCATATCAAACCTCTTCTATAACTAAATATAAAGTACCTAACTTCTATGTTATCGGGTCGGTACATGCAAATATCCGTATAACAGAAATCCCTGTTTACATTCAAGATGGAAAGATTAAAACTTAATACGAAGATCTGAATTGCTTAATTTGATAAGTTTTAAAAAAATGATTTTGTTACCGGATTTGGTATGTTCCAATAAGGATATTCCAAGAGAGCCCAATTTCTCACATATTGGTAAATGGGATCTTGACAAGAATTGAAGAAAGGAGATTGTGGGACTTGTGGTTTCTTAAACTTAGTGCAAAATGATTAATTGCGTTGTTTCTTTCTTAATTTGTCTCACCTTAAATGCAACCTTAATCATGGTTAACTATATATAAAAAGGAATATAGCTCTCCTAGCATATAAATTTCTACCTTCAATACTTAAGATCAATATATTTTTATTGCAAGTGAAAAACAAAATTATTGCAAATATTGATTTCAACACTAATAATTTCATTGTAGGTCAACTTCCATCGACCTTATTCGAGCGCCAAGAGTTACAAATTTTAAATGTATTCAACAATTCCTTGGAAGGAAATGTGCCTCTGGAAATCAAGAATTTGACTGGATTAAGAGAGTTGCGTCTCTTTGGTAACAACCTAACAGGTATGCTTAATATGGGTCTTCCTTTAGACAAATTAAAATGATTAGTTGGCAATTTATTTTTATTAATGAGTTCAGATTTATGATTTTATTTTTCATTTAAGTTGAACTTGAAAACTTGAATTCAAAAGAAGAGATTTAAATTTCAAATTTAGTATAAGTGTGTGACAAAACTCATGGAAAAATGACTTTATTAATTATTTTCGAATTTACCAGATTCGTTAGATCTCCATGAAGGAAAAAATTATGAAAAATGTTTTTACATATTAATGTACTATTCATACCAAATTCAAGAAAAGATAATATATTGATTACAAAAATCTTTTTATATATATCACTTAAAAAGTATATAAAGTATTCTTTAACATTTTTCTTCTTTACATTTTAAAAAAAAAAACACATTTCTTTTGTCATAAGTTAATTTTGTAAAGGAAAAAAATGCTGAATGAAGTACTCCCTTAATTAGTGCTCAACAAAGAAAAGTGGCCTATTTATTGTAATGAATCATAGTAGGAAAATTTTGATTTATAAGAGGTGAACTCAATTTCTCAGGTGAAATTCCATCAATCATCGGAAGTTTGCCTTTTCTTGAGATTCTACGCTTGGGCGATAACAACTTGATAGGTAATTTTTATTTTCCTCCTTATCCAATTGTGCATGTTAGAGGTCTTTTTAATCATTTACATAATATTCTCATTCGTCATTATAAAAATAAAAAATTAAACAATCAAAAGGTTACGTATTGTAATTAATTACGCATTCAAATTGAAAGTAAAAATGGAACAAGAGATTGTAGAAAGAAGAAATCATGTGCCAAGTTAATACTTTAACCATCAACTTTGTAATTAGTAGAGGGTTTTTACCCGTTAGCTTAGAATCGAATGGAAAAATCATGTGTTAAATAAAAATAAAAAAAAAAAGAAACTCTAGGGGGAAGAATTTGTTTTACCATGGTTTATTCAACAAAATTATTAAGCTCCATTAAAACTTTCTCAATATAAGTTGTTATATGAATACCTCCTCGTGCGACCAAGCACTAGCAAGTGGATAGATGCTGTGTAAGGGTAAGCAAAAGCATCATTTTTTGAGCTAGAAATCATTTGCTTACATTTTTATAGGGCAACTTTTTCCTAAGAATATTCAAATTTCTGATCTTTATTCAAATTTGCTCCAAGGTCGAGTTCCAGCTCTACAACCTTCATTACGCTGCTTAGGCGTTTCGCTCAATCATTTAATTGGAGAAATCCCTTCATCAGTTTGCAATATGAGTTCACTAAATTCTCTCATTTTGTTCAACAATAATTTTCATGGAGTTATTCCAGAATGTCTTGGTAACTTAAGCAACTCTATGGAATTCATGGATCTAAGCATGAATAATTTTCATGGTAAAATACCTGGAAATTTTCATGAAGGTTGTTCAATGAGAAGTTTTTCCGTCAATCACAACCAGCTAGATGGGTCATTACCACGCTCTTTGATCAATTGCTCGGAATTGGAAATTTTAAATGTAGGGAACAACAATTTAAACGGCACCTTTCCGAATTGGTTAGGAAATTTGAAGCTACAAGTTCTTATCTTGCGGAATAACAGATTCTATGGTCACATTGACGACTTTGAAGGTAGATTTTCCTTCTCTTGTTTGCGAATCATTGATCTCTCTGGCAATGACTTCAATGGTCACTTGCCAATGAAATTTTTTGAAAATCTGCATGCTATGAGAAGTGAAAGCAAAAGCAAAAGTCACTCAAAGTACATGATATTTGCTCTGTCTACTCGAGACGGTTTATTTTATCAACCTTTATATATTACAACAAAAGGGTTGGAGATACACCTCGAGAGAATCTTAACCACCTTGACCATTATTGATTTTTCAAATAATCAATTTAATGGACAGATACCTGAGATACTTGGGGAACTTCATTCACTTATAGTCCTCAATCTTTCTTACAATAGTTTAAAGGGTCCTATCCCTTCAGTGTTAGGGAACTTGTCAATGCTTGAATCATTAGATCTCTCATTGAACAAGCTTGAAGGAAAAATTCCAGCACAATTAGTAAACCTTATATTCTTAGCAGTATTAAATCTTTCTGGGAATAATCTCATGGGACTCATTCCTCGAGGCAAACAATTTGATACTTTCACAAATGATTCCTACATCGGAAACTTGGGTTTATGTGGACTCCCTTTATCAAAAAACTGTAATGATGAGCAGAATTTGGAGCCACAACCAACAAATTTTGATGAAGACAGTGATGCTGTGAATTGGAAATTTTCTATATTGATGGGGTATGGATGTGGGTTGGTTTTGGGATTGAGCATGGGATACATTGTGTTCACAACTGGAAAACCATGGTGGTTGGTTAAGATCATTGAGAGAGGTCAACAAAAATATGTTATCCAACGGAAAATCCACAGAAGCAGAGGAAGAAAATAATACAGCTAATGCTCTTGGGTGAGTTTTAATAGTTCTAACAAAACAATTGTTGTTTTTTTTTTTTTTTTCAAATTCAAGATCTTTGTCTAACAATTTTAAACAACTGTTAATAGGTTGGGTATGTGCCAACTTCCAAGGTTAGTTTCTTCCATGGACAGTTTGGCAAAAGAAGTTCTTGACAAGAAAGGAGATTTCTCAATCCCGGTGGTATGGATTCTATGATCATTGTATATATTGTTGTGGACTTTTTTGAGTTGTTTGCATCCTCTATATTACACATATTCTCCGTTGCTTTTCGGTTGAGGTGAGTTCTTTTCAGTTTGTTGGATTGGTATATCACTAATATCAGTTGTATTAGTCGTATTCTAATTCTGAATTTCGATTATGGTATATAGTTTTCAACTTGCAAATATCTTAATATATATTATCCTTCTCCATTGCTTGTGTTGAAGAGAACAGAGTAATCTAGAAAAATTGATGAACAAAAGAACAAAAGATAGCTAAACGTGAAAGAAGAAGAAAAACGATAAGCACAAAACCATGCACTTTTGCCTTACTTTTCTAAAAAACAAAAGAACGGTATTTATATGTGGTTACATGAGAGAGAAATAAGAAAAACTTTTTAAACCAGCTAAGGACACTTGGTTCTCCAGAAACATATGATAGAATATTGCATAGGGAGATGTGCTTAGATTCCCAAGACAGCCAGACAGGCCAAACGGCTACGCAAGTAAAATGACAGTGTGTTTAAAAGAAAAATATTACTGATAAACAGAGTAAAATAGATACCAGGTAAAGCAAATAAAGATAAACTGACATAAACTACCCTTCTTTCTGTAGCTATGAATTTCCTGTAACCTTCAACCTTTGAATCAGCTTGGCAGCAAGGCGAAGCCATATCTCAACACACCTCCTTGGTTTTCAACTTGCTGATCCCCAACAAATCTCTTATATAAGTAAATTTCTCCTTGTTCAGACTTTTGGTAAATATATTAGCTACCTGTTCAGATGTGCCATAATGTAAAACTAAAATTTCTTATTCCTTAATGGCTTCTCTGATAAAATGAAACTTAACCTTTATGCGCTTTGTCCTGCTATGATGCACTGGATTTTTAGAAATGGATATTGCCGATTGATTATCAATCATCAATGGTGTTCCTAACTTCTGCTTAAACCCCAAATCTTCCATCATTTTCCTGATCCAGATAGCTTGATTTGCAGCTATAGCAGCTGAAATATATTTTACTTCAATTGAGGATTGTGCAACCACCTCCTGTTTCCTAGAGTTTCAAGAGAAAACAGCACTTCCAAAAGAAAAACAATGGCCTCCTACGCTTTTAGAATCATCCAAGCTCCCTGCCCAGTCACTGTCACAGAAACCAATCCATTCACTGCTTCTATCCTTCTCAAATCTCAAACCATAGTCTATTGTCCCTTTAATATACCTCAGAACCCTCTTTGCTGCAAAATAGTGATTTTGAGAAGGTTTCTGCATAAATCTAGACAACAAGCTTGTAGAATACATCAAGTCTGGTCTTGATGCAGTCAAGTATAGTAGACTTCCTATGATACGTAATTCGAACATATAGCCTCAGAAGCCTTATCATCCATACTTAGCTTGCTATTGGAAGCAAAAGGAGTCTCAACAGCTTTATAGTTTTCCATCTGAAACCTCTTCAATAATTCAGTTGCATATTTACTCTGATGAATACAAATGGTTTCTGTTTTTTGTATAAATTACAATCCCAAGAAATAATGCATCTCCCCTAAATCAGATATTTCAAACTCTTCCATCAACTTGAGCTTAAAAATAGTCAAAAAACTACCATGTGAACCAATCAGCAGCAAGTCATCAACATACAAGGATATAATTACCTTTACTAAATCTACTTGGCTACACACATATAGAGTAGGCTCATTCTGACTTCTCTAAAACCCTTCTGCAATAAGAAATGAGTCGATTCTATCGTGCCAAGCCTTTGGGGCTTGTTTCAGTTCATATAAAGCCTTCACTAATTTGCAGACTTGACCCTCTATTCTTGGCTTGATAAACCCTTCCGGCTGATGAATGTAAATACCTTTAGTAAGATAGCCATTTAAAAATGCTAATTTTACATCTAAATGCCAGATCTTCCACCCTTCTCGAGCAGCTAAAGCAGTCAACAATCTTATAGTATCATGTCTTACCACTGGGGCAAAAGTCTCCTAGAAATCAACACCATAAATCTGAGAGTATCATTTCACCACTAATCTTACTTTAAACTTATTCACAGTTCTGTCAGCATTGAGCTTGGTCTTGTAGAACCACTTTGTACCAATCACATGCTGATCTATTGGTTTGTCGACTAATAACCAGGTACCATTTTTCTTGATCATTTGCATTTCATGTTTCATAGCTTGCATCCATCTATTGTCTTTTGCTGCCTCTTTATAGTCAGTAGGTTCACACACTAACACATTACACTTATCATAGATATCTTGTAAGGACCTTGTGCCTTTCACTGCAAGTTTTTCATCTTCTAAATCTTCTTTTGATTCAGCTTCACTTTAAACAACATTAAGATTATGAATATATCTGTCAGAACTTGTCACAAGTAAATTCTACCAGTCCCACATAGAGCTTTCATCAATTCTCACATCCCTGCTCATAAAAAACATCTTAGTCTCCACATTGTACAACTTATAACACTTGGTAACTTCACTGTAACCAATATGAATGGCTACAACACTCTTTTCATCTAATTTAGTTCTTCTGTTGTCTAGAACCTTTGCATAGCATATAATGCCAAAGATCTTCAAATGACTAATTGATGGTTTGTAGTTAAACCAACTCTCATAAGGGGTTTTACCACTTACAGCTCTTGTAGGAGTCATATGTAGCAAATAATTGGCTATGTTAATAGCCTCTGCCCAAAAAGCTTTTGGTAACTTCTTTTGAAAAAAAAGACACCTAGCCATTTCCATGAGAGTCTTGTTCTTCCTTTCTGCTACCCCATTTTGTTGAGGGCTATAGGTAATAGTAAGTTGATGAATAATACCAAGCTGAACCAAATACTCTTCAAACTCAACAATAGTAAATTCCCTCCTATTATCAGTTTTACGGATTTTAATTGAAGTATTTGCCTAATTCTCAACTAACTTTCTAAACTTCACAAAACTCTTGAAAGCTTCAGACTTATATTTTAAAAAATACAACCAACAGAATGTAGTAACATCATCTATGAACAATAAGTAGTACCTACTGCCACCAAGTGATTCCGTTTTCATAGGTCCTCCCAAATCAGAGTGAATAAGCTGCAACTTGTCAATAGCCTTCCACCTCATCTCTTTTGAAAATGCAGTCTTGCTTTGCTTCCCTACTTGACATGTATCACATAACTGTTCATGCTTTGTAACTTCTAGCAAACCCTCAACCAACTCTTGGGATGCCATATAACTCAAGGAGTTGTAGTTAACATGTCCTAACCACTTGTGCCACAGCTCTGACTCATCAACAGTACTCATATATGCCTTCTGTTCAATGTTCTTCTAGTCAATAAGATAGCACTTATTCCTCATTTGAACTGTAAATACCATATCACCATTAGAGTCAGACACTATGCAGTGCTTGTCCTTGAACAATAAGACATAATTGCTCTCAGTTAACTGACCAACATTAAGCAAGTTCTGACTAGCCTCTAGAACAAGATATACATTTGAAATATACTTGCTACCCAACTTAGTTTCTACAGCAACTGTTCCAACACCAACAATCTTTAAGAAAGATCCATTCCCAATCTCCACCCTTGCCCTATAACTCCTGTCAAGTGTGGTAAATTGGCTCTCATCACCAATGAGATGATTTGAATAGGCACTGTCAATTAACCACTTAGATTTCTTAGTTGTTTCACCTATAACCTGAGCCATAAACAAGACTTCTTCAACCTTTTTTACTTGCTCAGCAACTGCAGCTTTCTCATTTGTCTTGGAACCTTTGGTTACAGGCCCTACATTTCACATTAGGCCTATACTAGTGATACTTTGCCAAATTTGTGGTCTTTTTGCAGTGAGGATAAGGTTGATACTTCTACTTTTGTTTTCCAGTTTTTCTATCAATAATTTTCTTATCCTTGTCTTTTCTCTCAGTCTCATTCTTCTTTCCACTACTACTACTGACTTTAAAATTCTTAGATTGTGCTATCAAAGCACTTTCAACCACACTCTTCTGCCTATAAGCCCTTATCTGTTCAAGACCCTCCAAAGCATTTACCAGTTCTTTTAAAGTAATCTGATCAATGTCCCTAGAGTCCTTTAAAGAAGAAATCTTAGATTCATACGTTTCTCGAAGGCTAACCAACATTTTGTGCACCAACCTTTCCTCTGTCACTATCTTTCCTAACAATCTTAATTGATTCACCAAACTCATCATTTTCCCAGAAAACTCCCTAATAGTTTCATCACCCTCCATCCTTAACATCTTAAATTGTCTAGACAAATTTAAAGATTGAATTTGCCTAGTCTTATTACTACCAAAGAACTCATCCTTCAAGTGATCCCACACCTCCTTAGGACTATCTAAATGCATAATCCTAGAGAAAATCCCATCAGAAACAGCAGATTGTAAGCAGGACAAAGCTTTATACCTTTTTGCTTTGTTCTCTTCAAACTTTCGAATTTGAGCAAGAGTGGCATTGGTATGCCGTTAAACAAGGTCCTCTCTAGTCTCCACTACTTTCCATAAACAAAAAGCTTTGAGATAAGATTTTATTTTTACTGATCAGATAGCATAGTTTTCACCATTAAAAACTGGTGGAGCTGAGGTATTGAATCTAACTGTAGCCATGAATAAAAAATCAAGCAGAAAAAAGATCAGGTAGCAAGATGAAGATGAAAGGAAAAGAAAGATAACCCTTAAAGACCCATCGATCGACTCTGATACCATGTTGAAGATAACATAGTAATTTGGAAAATTTGATGAACAGAAGAACAAAAGATAGCTAAACGTGCAAGAAGAAGAAAAATGATAAGCACGAAACGGTGCACTTTTGCCTTACTTTGCTAAAAAATAAAAGAACGGTATTTACATGTGGTTACATGAGAGAGAAATAAGAAAAACTTGTTAAACCAGCTAAGGACCCCTGGTTCTCTAGAAACATATAAGAGAATATTGCATAAGGAGATGTGCTTAGATTCCCAAGACAGCCACACAAGCCTATGGCGACACAGGTAAAATGACACAGTATTTGGAAGAAAAATATTACTGATAAACAAAGTAAAAAAGATAGCAGGTCAAGCAGATAAAGATAAACAGACATAAACTACTTTTCTTTCGCAGCAATGAATTTCCTGTAACCTTCAGCCTTTGAATCAGCTTGGCAGTAAGATGAAACCATATTTCAACATCTTGCTTATAACCATCTGCAACTTTCCATTATGTGGTAAAGACTGATAACTTATAAGCATTTTACATAACCTTTTCCCTGAACAAGAAAATACATTACTTCTAAGATCAAACAGTAATGACAACTTGTACAAGTGCGTCATATCAATCATGGAATCAAACTTCGAATCTTCCACTTGTATGCAAAATATGAAAACAAAATCGAAAGGACAACCAAATATGTAAGTTGCATAATGCCTCGGCTGAAATCTCAGCAGTTTCTTCGCTCCGGCGGAATAAGGTGTTTTTAGTCATAACAAAGACAATGGGCTCTACAATCTATAATTTTGCAAGTAACTTGAACCACCTTTGATATGTACAACACCTTCATTATCCTTTTGCATCGTCTAGTGTTGTTTATAGATCTTACTAGCAGTAAGAAGGAGAAAAAGCAGAGAGAAAAAGAGAGAAGAAAGAGATATATTACAGATTTCCTTGCTATAGGTGCATTAATTGCAACAAGTCATTCCAAAAATTTATCCTGATTATCTCTGAATATGTGTCCAAAAAGGAATATAAATCTATGTGAAGACTGCTACCCATCGATCATATTCAATGCTAACTGGAGCCCGGGGCTGGGGCTTAATCTTCTTTGTTAAGATACCTGATCAAAAATGTAAACCCAAAGCTGCCTTAACTTTGCCGAGGAGGTTGGGATCACTTGTTTCTTTCTGTTTATTATAATATAACTGGTGACTGCATGCAGAATGCAGATTGCCTTGGGAGTTGGGACTGATATAATACCAATTAAATGGATCGGAACAAAGTGATTTTGCTAGCATCTTGATGTAAGTGGCTGAACCAAGTAATTTACTTTGAATCATAGGTTCGAAGCCTTGAGTGGTATCAGCCACGAATGCATTTTTCAAATGGGGGAAGACATTTAGGTGCAGGCCGATTTTATTACTAATTAAGCATATGCATATGTGGATCAGGTTAGAGACAAAATCTTTATTAGTTTAATCTGTTGAAAGAAAACCTGCTCCATGTGTGTTTTCTTTGTCTTCTTTGAAAAGATTTGGACTGATCGACTAGATTCTCTGATAGATTTAGCATATAAAATTATACAATTGTGTCTCCTATATGAATTCTTTAGGCTTTCCTTTTCTCTTTCCAACTTCCATTCGGAATCATTAGATGGAACAAATTAAAACTGAAAACTTTTTTAATAATCAGGGAAGGAAGATTTGGAACTTGCGACTTCCATTTATTGAATTAGTATCATATTCTTTGTGTAGCTAGTCCCAGGCTCAATCAACAGCAAAAGGGTTGTGTAAAGATCAACAGATTGCATAATAATAGATAATGGTCATTCTCATCTACAAAATATATGTTAAATGAATCCTGGAGGATTGCCAAAAGACTGTAAATGGGGCAAATTTCAAGTGGCTCCACAATGTTTCTCCCGCTGCAATGCTCGTCCATGACATGGTATATTTCTGATACAGAAACCTTTGCCATGGCAGTCAACAGAAAAGTTAACCTACATTACAACTACTCCGTTCTCATATTACTTTATTACCCCATTTCCTCAATTCAACTTTGGCTGCATTCCCTGAAAAAATCTACTCCAATAATTTGTACAACATAGCTTTTAGGCAGGCTTTGTACTTTGTGTAACAAGGAAATCTTATCTCAGCATGCATCCCGCACATGGCACAATTGGCATGAACCCGTAAGAACATATGGTGATATAATTATATGAACTCAGTGATACCAACCCTATGCAACAAATTGCAGAGTAGGTTTTCAAGAAAAGCTGCCGCCTGCAGTGGCAGTCACAGTCATGAAAATAATACATCACCCTTTATATTGGACGGCTAACAACCGTCACATGCCTTTTTTTGTTGGCAGCCACTCCACACTTTCTATCTGTCCACGTTCCTTGAATCATTTTTCTTTTCTGGAATGAATTTATCATTAAAAAAAAAACTTTCCCCTTTTCTTCCATTCTTTAGTTCTTAAACTTTGGATATTAGATATGGCTGGTGCAGTCTCTGACTGAAAAGCAGAAGGAGTGCACACTGAAGTTGGAAGATAAAATATATATATATCATTCTCCTGTTGAAGATATTTTTGTATAAAGTATAGCAGTTAATCACTAATATTAACAGTAAACTTCAATGATTGGTTGGACAGAGACGAGAAAAATGGGAAATCTCGATTGACCTGAACAATTTCGGTTGGACCTGGCAGTCATAGCAGCCTGCGTTTAGAAAACCAAACTAAGCCCTGCTCATAAATATTCAATATCTAACAAGTCCTTGATTATTCAATTTCTAGGCTTCAAAGCCTTTTGGGGGAATTTGATGTATTTTGTTATTAAAAGAGTTTATATAATCCTATATCCGTATTAAAAAAACGTAATTAATCATTGAATTTGTGAAATAAATAATAGTAATAACTTGCTGTCTGTTTCATGACAGAGCTCATGAAATTAAAAACATGGTGTATGATCCTGAACTGGAAATCCCAGCAAGTATTTATTATCGTTAAGCTAGTAATTGATTTTTAGCATTCAATATCCAAATGATGTGGCCATCGAGTTGGAGTTGGGTAGCCACAAATTGCAATTGCATGTACTGATGGGAATGCCAAGTCGAAACTGAGCTGTGTTTTGCATGTAACCAACGTGGCCACACGTATATGCCTTTCTTCTTACTTTTTCAAATCCCTAATTCATTTCTTTGGAAGAAACTCCTCGTTGGATACACGTCAATCCTTGCAAGCATGTTATATAGTAGCTGGCAACCTCAGACAACCTCTCACCACCCTGTCCATATCTGGCAAAGCTATCGGTTTTTTACGGCAAAGAATTAGGTCTCTAGCCACAAGGATTCTGCCACGTGGAATAGTGCACGTGGTTTCATTGCCTGTGTATCCATCAGGTTTCCCCACGTTGAATGATGCGGTCAACAGTTACGGCCTCGGGAAGCCACAAAGTACTGCTATGAGATATTTCCGAGGATTAATCAGATGCTTCATGGAACAAATTGTTCTTTAGTAGAAACCAATGATGGCTCGGTGCAGATGGAATCCAACGGAGATGATTGATAAAGGGATGGGCTTGGTGGGACGGAAGAGTCACATGCAATATTGACATGGTCCAGACTCGAAAGTGAAAACCTTTATCATAAGGTACCGTACATATGAGACATGACAACATGGCAAAGTTGGTCCAAATCTCAATCTGATTCCCGCGGGAACAATAACTCAAAAAAGCGAGTTTGCAACTCCTTCCATGACATACTAAAACATTTATTTGATTCTTCAGTTGAGTTCAGCACCATTAATCATCATCCTTCCTGGGACTATAAATAGCCCCCCAGATCATAAAGGCCCCTTATCTGTCTTTTGATGTTGTGGTACTTGCACATTGTCTTTGGGGATGCTTTCTGAAGCATAGTTGCATCTGGGGTCGGTGTTGTTCTGTTGTTGGAGAGGAAAGTTTGTTCTTTTGATTGAGTTGTTCTTGTTTTTTGCTGGTTAAAAAAGGAAGAAGAAGATGACTGTGGGGGCTGGAATTTCTGTGAGTGATGATGGGAAATTAATGGTGTTGGGGGACTGCATTCTGTATGATGTTCCTGACAACATCGTGGTGACTCCAGCCTCTGGTGGTGCGTTGGCTAATGGAGCTTTCATTGGAGTTGTTTCAGATCAGATGGGAAGCCGCAGGGTCTTTCCCGTTGGCAAGCTTGAGTAAGTCTTCCTCACATCTTCCTTTTTCTTCTCAATCTTCTGTTTGATTTTATGTGAGCAATCGACCTATGGCAGTACAGAAGAATTATTGGTTTTCGCTGTCAGACAAGATTATGATTTAATGATACGATGCGTGTTCAAGCTGTTTTTGTCCTATGCAGAATCTCTAGGTCGTTCTCTAGTTGTTCGTAAATCGGTCTTTTGATAATCTGGTAGTTGGCATTGTTAGATTCTGTTGCTCGTTTTGCTTTCAATATGCTAATATATATTGGTTCTTCTGCAGGGGATTGCGTTTTATGTGTGTTTCCGATTAAATGTGGTGGATGACACAGAGGATGGGAACTTGTGGTCAAGACATCCCCTTTGAAACCCAGTTTTTAATCGTCGAGGCACGTGATGGCTCTCATTTTGACATGGAAAATGAAGACAAATCTGCTGCATATGTCGTGTTTTTACCCATTCTTGAAGGGGATTTCAGGGCTGTTCTTCAAGGCAATGAAAGAAATGAGTTGGAGATTTGCTTGGAAAGTGGTAGGATGAGAAACAAGACATCAATTCAAATTTTGTTAAACATTTTGGTTTTCCTTAGTGTACTCACGGGATTATTTCTGCATTGCAGGAGATCCTGCTGTTGATGAGTTTGAGGGGAGCCATTTGGTTTTTGTGGCAGCTGGATCAGATCCATTTGATGTCATCACCAATGCAGTGAAGTAAGTCTCTTGCTGATCATAACATCATTTATAACATAATTCTTCATGAATTGGCTGCTCCTCCATGACTGCAGATTTACTCTTCAGCAGATCTTTCTTCAAGTTTCATCATCTGATTTTTCCTGGACCACATTGTCCCATGTCTAACAATGGAATTATTAGCTAAGTTGTATTGGAAAATGTATGCAGGTCTGTGGAAAAACATTTACAGACCTTTTCTCATCGTGAGAGAAAGAAGGTAAGTCTTTCGTGGAACTAATATCCTGTTGCTGGAGTTAGAGTTGTGTGATCTCCATTCCTGCATTTGCCTATTATATAAAATTATAATTGTGTTCGTTCTTCATTGTTCAGATGCCAGACATGCTAAACTGGTTTGGTTGGTGTACATGGGATGCTTTCTACACCAATGTCACTTCTGAGAGTTTAAAGGAAGGATTGGCGAGGTAGTTTCTTCTTGCTAGGGTGCTGTTCATCGAATATATTGTTTAGGCATCATAGGTAGGCGATTAACTAGTAACTCTTTCAGCTTAGAGAAAGGTGGGATTCCTCCAAAGTTTGTTATTATTGATGATGGGTGGCAATCTGTTGGCATGGATCTGACTGGAACTGAATTCAGAGCTGATAATGCAGCCAAGTAAGCAGTTAAACCAGAATTCTGTTATAATGCTTTGATATTCTTCCTTCCATAGCCTAAAAAAGGTCTTGCTGTTTCGGCTTTCTTGTCTTCCAGCTTCGCAAACAGATTGACACATATTAAAGAGAACCATAAGTTTCAGAAAGGTGGCAAAGAGGGTCACAGGGTAGAGGATCCCACCTTGGGGCTTCGCCACATTGTCACTGAAATTAAAGAGAAACATGCTTTGAAATATGCATATGTTTGGCATGCGATAACAGGGTACTGGGGAGGTGTTAGGCCAGGTGTTACCGAAATGGAACACTATGAATCCAAATTGGCTTACCCTATTTCATCTCCTGGAGTTCAGTCAAATGAGCCTGATCAAGCTTTGGACAGCATAATTAAGAATGGCCTTGGCCTTGTTAACCCTGAAAAAGTTTTTAACTTCTATAATGAACTTCACTCATACCTTGCATCAGCTGGTATCGATGGAGTCAAAGTTGATGTTCAGAACATCCTTGAAACTCTTGGGGCAGGCCATGGTGGAAGAGTGAAACTTGCTAGAAAATACCATCAGGCTTTAGAGGCATCAATCGCCAAGGAACTTCCGTGAAAATGACATAATCTCTTGTATGAGTCATAACACAGATGGTTTGTACAGGTAAAATTCATCTTTCATGTCCGGAAGAATTCAGCCTGTCTACTAATAAAGCTATCAGAGATTCTGAACTGGACTGACCTATGATATATTTGTGCAGTGCAAAACGAACAGCTGTTATTAGGGCATCAGATGATTTCTGGCCAAGAGACCCGGCATCCCACACAATTCACATTGCCTCAGTTGCATACAATACTGTTTTTCTTGGGGAATTTATGCAACCAGATTGGGATATGTTTCATGTAAGTTAGCAGATTTTGTCTATTTCTAGTATTTGGTAGGTACTTTGTTGAATTGTCAATGTTAACACAGGAATTATTTTGGTGACAGAGCCTGCACCCAATGGCAGAATACCACGGAGCAGCTCGTGCTGTTGGAGGATGTGCTATCTATGTCAGGTACATTTTAGTGTTACTTATGGCTTGACAGCAGCAAATTTAACATATGATCTCTCATATTGAGTGGTCTATGATTACAGTGACAAACCTGGGCAACACGACTTTAAACTACTCAGGAAGCTTGTACTTCCTGATGGTTCAATATTGAGAGCAAAACTTCCAGGAAGACCTACAAGGGATTGCTTGTTCAGAGATCCAGCCAGAGATGGTAAAAGGTGAGAAAAGGAACGAAAATAGTATATTTGATTTGATTCTTGATCCTGGATGGAATGCATCAAACAGAAAAGATTTTATGCTCATGGTACTCTGGGTATCTGCTGCAGCCTTCTAAAGATTTGGAATCTGAATGAGTTCAATGGAGTCATTGGGATCTTCAACTGCCAGGGAGCAGGGTGGTGTAAAGTTGGGAAGACCAATATTATCCATGACCTACAACCTGGCACAATTACAGGATATATCAGGGCCAGAGATGTTGATTATTTGCCTGAAGTAGCTGATGATGGATGGAATGGAGATTCTGTCATATATTCCCATCTTGGTGGTATGTCAATCATGTTAATTCTATTTTCTTTGACAGCTAGTCACAAAATTATGCATGACTTAGATATAGACATAGTTTATCAAAATGTTTCAGCTTTCCTGAAGAAAAACTTTCTCTGATTCCAAATGCAGGAGAACTGATCTACCTTCCAAACAATGCAACCATGCCAATAACTTTGAAGGCACGAGAATATGAAGTCTTCACAGTGATACCTGCAAAGATATTAACCAATGGGTCTAAATTTGCTGCCATTGGTCTAATCGAGATGTTTAATTCCGGAGGAGCCATCAAGGAATTAAGATACCAATCCGGGACAAGTGCAAACATTGATATGAAGGTTCGAGGGTGTGGCCTGTTCGGAGCCTATTCATCGACTCAACCAAAGAGAGTAACAGTTGACTCAGAAGAAGTAGGTTTTGAATATGAAGATGGATCTGGTTTAGTGACCCTGTCTTTGAGAGTTCCGGAGGAAGAGTTGTATCTTTGGAGCATTAACATTGAGTTGTGATGAGCCTTATTCTTTGCTCTGCACTAGTAGGAGGTTAGAAAGTCATTTGCACTTGGAGGGGCCCACGTCTTAGAAGGAAACAAAGGCAGGTTGTCATTGAGTTGGTCATGGTGTAAAAGGTTCAGATTCATAGCAAGGAATAAGGAGGCAATGCATGTAGCTATTCTCTGCATGTATTCTCTTAGATCATGCTGGTTTCACCAAGATCATTTTGTAGTAATCAGAAATATATAGAGCTACTTCTTTCTTTCCTCATTCAAGCACACTCGCTGATCAACAACTGGTTCCCCGAAACCGGAGAGGAAAAGGAGTCTGAATATTACAGAAGACTCTGCATCGGCATTTCCTAGGAGAATCTGAGGCAAGGGGCGTGAACTCTGTTGCAGCAAAAATAGGCCTTGGCTGCTCCATCCAGATATCGATGGCATGTAAAGGAAAAATGATATCAATTGAATTGAAAGTCTAATAAAAGTAAAGCTGGTTGGTGCATTTAGGCTGCAGCTGTGCATCTACTGCAAATTGACAATCCAACTTCTAATCTCTAACACTTAAACTAAACAATCTAAAGAAACCAAAACATTTTTATGCTGATTCTAGGCATGAAGAGCTGATCTTTGGGTTGATACAAAGGAAAAGAAATGAAAATGAAGCTCTTGTTGCTATTCCAGATGTCCAAATATTCAGCATTTTCATCATCTGGTTAGAGATTAAAAAGAAAAAAAATTCAAGGAAGAGGTAGAAATCTTAAACATGATTGAAATCCCAATATGACATGATACAAATTGGTCAAAGATTATAGTGTTATAAATCAAGTTTTGACCTTTAGGAAATCGTATATTAGGAATAGCATTGGATACAAGTAGCACCCACCAACCCAAATTACCCGCCAACCCGACAACCCGTTCTGAACCAACAAAACAGATACGGATCCTCCAAACCCAGTACTAAAAGGACAAGCTTTACCAGCTTTGTCGAAAAACCTCCCTAAACCCACAGGTTTTAAGACTTAAGAGTCAGCGAGAGAGAGGGTTGCAGGAAATGTTTCAGAGCAGAGTGGTTGCTTCGATTCTGAAGAGGAACCAATCTGTACTCAATAGCTTAACGTCCAATCTCAAGGGAACGTCTTCCTCTCGTGTTTTTACGTCGTCTTCTTCTTCTGCTTCTGCTTGGACTGCTAGTGCAGTCGCAAGGAGCTGCTCTCATGGCTTTCGATCTCTGCCTAAGGTTCTTTTCGTTCTCAATTTCGATTCTTTATTCGATTTGTTGAAATGGGTATCCCTTTGTCTTGATTTCTCTTTTATTTAGATTTTGGACGGAGCAATTGCAGGTAGCTTTTTCTTCTTGAAAAGGGATGGGATTGGATTGATAATTGTCTTTCTTGTATTTCTTTCGTTGTTTATAGTCAAAGAGTTAAATTTTATTGTTGAGCAAATGAAAGTTTGTTCTTATGTCTACTCTGATACTGATATATTATGGTCTTGGTGGAAACCAAGTGATTTGGACCATTTGTTTGAATAAAGCTGTTGAAGTCTGGGATGAATGATGGGAATTCATTTAAATTGGGAACGGTCATCCTAGAACCAAAATCTGAATTAGGTGACAGCATATTCTTTGACTCATTCTATCATTTGAAGATGCATTCCCTGGTTCTGATTTAAAGAATTACACAACTGAGAACAGCTAGGGATTTTAAGCATTCTTGTCACTTGCGGAGTGTTTAGCTTTGCTGCGGACATGGAGAGGCTACATTTGTCATTTTATTATCCACCATAAGTATTTGAAGGTGAAAATGGTGTTTCAGAGTCCAGTTTTAATATTCAATTGAAGAAAGTTGTTTCTTCTGTGGATTTTCTGCAAAATTATCTAAAAGGACAATGGTGATATGCTCCAAGTGTTATGTGAATGTGATTAAAAGGAACTTCTCTTACTGTTACAGGGACATCATGTGCCATCTTTCAGGAATATGTCCACTTTGGCCTCTGTTGCCACAGAAAAGGAGGGATTCAAATTACTAGTAACTGCAGGCCCGCGTGCTCAGAAGATGGTGGGCATATGGCTCTTTGGTTCTGCTGCCTGGGTCTTTAGTATGGTGGTCCTAGGTGGTATCACACGACTGACTCGATCTGGTCTTTCAATGACTGACTGGAAATTCACTGGGAGACTTCCTCCTCTATCAGATGAGGAGTGGCAACAAGAGTTTGAGAAATACAAGCAGTCACCAGAATATAAGCGGTATGAGCAAAAATATGACCTATATTTGCTGCAATAATCGTAGCTTCAGTTCTTAATATTTGTGCTTTGCAGCCTTAGCTAAACTTGTACTCATAACTTAGATTTTACCATCATTGCTTGCTAGAATTAATTGTTGTTATCACTGCTATTATATGTTTAATAAACATTTCTATGCAGAGTAAACAAAGGGATGAGTATTGAGGATTTTAAATTTATATACTGGATGGAATATGCACATCGAATGTGGGGGAGAGCCCTAGGTGTCATGTTTGCTTTGCCATTCTCATATTTTCTTCGGAAGGGATATATTACCCTGCGCCTTGGACTAAGACTCTCTGCTCTTTTTGCTCTTGGTGCTGGTCAGGGTCTAATTGGTTGGTGGATGGTCAAAAGTGGTTTAGAGGTGAAAAGCAACTAGCTTCTTCCTATTTTGATCTTCTCCTTCCTTAGCTTCTTCCTATTATTCACTGCATAGATGATTTCTTCCTACAGGAGCCACCTTCTGAATATGTTGAGCCCCGAGTGAGCCCTTACCGTCTTGCTGCTCATCTTACTTCTGCATTTGTCATTTACAGTGGCTTGTTCTGGACCGCCCTTTCTGTTGTAATGCCTGAACCTCCTGCTGAATCATTAGCCTGGGTTCAAGGGGCTGCCAAAGTCAAGAGGCTCGCAATTCCAGTAAGCCTCATTGTAGGCATTACTGTGGTCTCGGGAGCATTTGTTGCAGGAAATGATGCTGTATGTAGCTATTTGCAATTCATTTTTTGTACCCCTTCTTTCACAATAACCTTGTAAATCTTTGTGATCCTTGCTGAGGTGCAGTCTGTGTATGCCTTAATTTTCAGGGCCGTGCATACAATACTTTTCCAAAGATGGGAGATGTATGGATTCCCGATGATGTATTCGAGTTGAAACCACTTATACGCAACTTCTTTGAGAATACATCGACAGTGCAGGTAATTTGTCTTCTCTAATGTTACCTCTTGGAGTATATAAGCAAGTGAGCTTCGTCATCTTCCAGGTGATTTCATTAGGTGCTCTTATGATTTCTTAGAAAAAGGAATAGAATTAAATGCAGGCATCAGTTAATTTATACAGGATAAACTGTTGAAACGTATATAATTGTAAAGCGGGAATGAATTGTCACATAAAATTTGATATTGTTCCTCTTGTTCATTTTTACATCAATTGTTTCATGCTCAGCTAAAACTTAATGATTATGCATAAAATTTCAGTTTTAAAAGGATATTGTCCCTCCTGATAACTGATATCTTAACAATAATGTGAAAAACTATTTCAATAACAGATCATATATGTTTTTGTTTTGACAGCTTGACCACCGTATCCTTGCGACTACCACTTTAATCTCTATCAGTGCTTTGTGGTGGTCATCCAGAAAGTTGGACATCCATCCGGCCATTCGATCTTTGGTTGGAAGCACACTGGGCATGGCTGCTCTGCAGGTGATTGTTTGCCCCATGGTTTTTAACTCCCTTTCATTTAAACAAAACTGGTCAGTCCCAATTCCAGTATTTCTTTTCATGAACAGTTCACAATATTAACTCTTTATATTTTATTTTTCATTCTTGTAGGTAACCTTAGGTGTATCAACACTTCTATCATATGTGCCTGTTTCACTTGGCACTGCACATCAGGCAGGGGCTTTGACCCTTTTAACACTCATGCTCCTGCTCAATCACACCGTGAGGAGGCCATCAATGTCCCTTCTGAAGACGCTGCCTCAGGTTGCAAAGACATCCTGATAGCTATAGAGTCTTCTAAGGATATTCGGAAGATTAGTTGAACACATCGATTTGTTATTCGGTTCTCATGTTTTGTTTTGCATCGATCTCCAATCTTTTAAGTTCATGCCTTCAAGGGCGAGTCCATTTCTGATTTTGTCACTCTGAGAAGCAAAATATGATTTCTTGCAAGGCATCTATTTGTAGCTACCTCAACAACTTATTTGTAATTAGGAAGCACTGACACATTAATTGAAAATGGTGGGAGTTGTTTTCTCTGTGTCTCATTGGCAACTTCATGCAAACTGAACCTGAATCCAGCACTACGTGTCCTTTTATGGACTCGTACCCGCCAAATGGAAGAGTAAAAGCGTCCCACATAGATTCCAAGAAACACCTAAGCAGCACGTCTCTCTCACCTCTTTCTGTTATAAAACCACCCAAACTCCATAAGCACAGCACAACAAAACAGAAGGAAACGAAAACAAAGCATAGATCATGGCAGAATACCATCAACAGGAAAGTGAAACCCACAATGTAAGTGGCAGATCAATGGTCTGCACATCACTGGCCGGTGTGGCAGTGACTGCACCGGTTCTGGGTATGATGGGGTTCAGCTTCATGGCAACACTGGTACTGCTAGTCATAAGCTCGCCTCTGCTATTCATATTCAGCCCTCCGCTGCTTTGTGTTGGCTTGGTCTTTGCGGGTACCTTGGCTGGGTTCGCCGTTGCAGCGACCATGGCTCTTGCGGGCGTCTCCACTCTAGCATTGATGTACGGAGAGATCGGAGGCACTACGGGATTTGGTTGTGGCATGACAGGAAGATTGGCGGAGTTTGGTGATAGAGTAAAGGAGCAAGGGAAGGACTGGGCTGGCTATTTGCAGCAAAGGGTGCAGCAGAATTCACCTGATGCTTATAGCCAGTAGAGGTTGACAAGTGTAATCAAATCATGTTCTCTGATCTCTCGCCTTCCCCACATAGGTTGTGTCTTGTGTATTGTTTGTCTGTCTGTAACATGGAAATGAGCTGGTATATGTTGTATAGTGTCTTACTTTTATCTGCCCGAATGTATGTTGGATTAAAAGTGCAGCTAAAAATTTGTTTAGCAAACAACTTTATTGAAGTTCATTGTTCTCGTCGATCTACGGTCAATACCCAAGATACCACTTGGATTAAAATCCCCCTTGATTTTCACTTGCTCTTATTAATGGAAGCCGGGGACTTTCTCCAACCAGTGATTTGATTTCCATATGGGCCAATCTTCACCGACAAAAAAGTTACCCAAACCCTTTCTTCCTCAATGGCCCACTAACTTGCATATATCAACTGGAAATCTATCAATGAAAAGTAATGTCAGAGAGTTCCATTCTTGTGATAAATATCTAACTTTTTCTTTTGGTCAATAACTCAATGCAAATTACAACATTTAATTTCCCTTTTAAAAAAGTCGGTTCAGTACTGCAATACCCTGCAAATTTCTTTCTGATAAAAGCTTCCATATTTAGCTTTTTTTCAGCTTTTTTCTGTTTTTGGTCCACCATACCGACTCTGGTGGACCAACTTGCTGTGCCTCCAAGTCACGCAACTTGACTTCGAGCAAGACATTACAAACTTTAAAACCATGTTTCTGCTGTTTAACTCGGAGTTTGATTCAAGACAATCCCATTGTCATATCTGAAGGAAAAAGCAAACCGCCTTGAACCTTAGTGCATGCAGCAAGCAAGCTATTCTCGGTGGGACAGGGCAGTTTCACATGTGTTTAGTCCAATATCGTCAAGGTGTTCTTGTTCCAGCAGAAGGGTCTACGTGGATTCCTTTGGGAAGGTAAAAACATAAATCTGACAAGCAGGTTTGGTTTCATGTTTCATGTGGCAAAGTTGATTGACGTGTTCCATGCAAATGCTACGTTCTGCATGGCCATTGGCCAATGCGGCTACTGGTTTTGCTTTGCTACGGTAGTCTGTTCTTTCATATTTGCATATGCTACATGACTAAGACTGTTGTTTTAGATCTGCCTTTCCAAAAATAAGAAGACTGCCGTTTTTCCACTTTGGCTTTCGCATATGGGTTGAATAAGTCAGCAAGGTAAGGGTAATGGGTGGATCATTTTAGGGGAGTGATTTGAGTTTGAGTTTGAGTAGGAGTAGGAGTGATGGTAGGAAACGTGTGGCTTGCAATTTGTGCACTTGAAAAGGAAGTTGTCAAAAATGATGAAAAAAAAAAAAGAAAAACAATTGTTCTTCGTGCTTCGATTGTGTTAATCTCATACTGTTTGCTTTTACATGCATGCTTTTTGATTGCTTGGAGTTAATTTATTCCTTTAAGATTGCATTTCGAGAGGATTGATTTGATGTTGTTGAATACCTTACCATTGAAGAATTAGTAACTGCAGTTCCGAATCTTGTTTTAATTCCTTTACTGGATTTGAAATATCGTTGGATTATCTTCAGCATACTTGCTATGTTTTTGGTTATGTTCGATGAGTTAATCGTTATGATCTGCGTTAGATAGTGAGTGATGATTCTTATATATTCAAAAATAAAAAAGTTAGACATTGATGAGAACTGAAAAACCATGAAACTGAAGCGAATGAATAAGGGGTGCTCCATTAATCAATGGGGATAGGGAACTAATCCTGGTATTATTAAATTTAAACACAAGAAGATGGATTACAAGCTGCAAATATTTGGGGTCAAATCCCACCTTGAAGTAAGTTTTTCATTGCAGAAATCAATACATAGTCTGCAGTTTGAGTTGCTGAGGTGGTGTTGGTTTCTAATCCCTGGTTGATGCTTGATGTAGCAGATGCAATCACTAGATGACAGGTCCACGCATGAGGTTGATGACAACCTGGGAAGGGATGCTCGACATTCTGTTAATGCTGTAGATCAACAACAAGCATTTTCTGTTAGTTTGCCAGATGGTGGTAGAGGGAGAGGCGTGTTCAAGAGTATAAAAACTGTAGTTCTGTCAAAGAAATTCAACTTGCTGATTCCCTTTGGGCCTCTAGCAATCCTTGTCCAGAAAACGACTGGTCAGAATGTAAGTTTTATTTTTATCTTACACTTTTCTTTGTTGATAGAGTGGTGCGGTAACGTGCATGCCACTGATATTTGCTGAATTGGATCACAGGGTTGGGTCTTTATTCTTGGCTTATTGGGTATAATGCCTTTGGCTGAGCGTTTAGGTTATACTACAGAGTAAGGATTCTGATGTTCTTTCCCTGTAAATTACTCTTTTCCAATTGCAGACAAGGTTGTTTGGTTTAGCAGCTAACATTGCATTTTTGTTTGCTCTCATTGAAGGCAGTTGGCATTTTACAGTGGACCTACAGGTATTGTTTATTTGTTCTACAGGATCTCACATCAATATCTGTGCTTGTTGCAGAAACATCCACATCTAGTTTCTGGCCAACTTCAGTTTGTTCCTTAAGTATTAGTTGATATTTTAAGATAAAAATTTGCAGTCGGGGGTCTTCTAAATGCTACATTCGGGAATGCAACAGAGCTGATTATATCAATCTATGCACTGAGAACTGGAAAGATACGTGTTGTTCAGCTGTCATTGCTTGGCTCACTTCTGTCAAATCTGTTGTTTGTTCTGGGATGTGCGTTCTTCTTTGGTGGGATTGTTAGAAAGGAGCAGGTTTTCAGCAAGGTTAATATATTGCCATTTCGTTCTGATTTTCTTTCGGCTCCTTTGGTTTCTTTTTGTTCATCCCAAAGCTGAGCTAAACTTCCATGCAGCCAACAGCTGTTGTCAATTCAGGACTGCTGTTGATGGCGGTCATGGGCCTACAGTTCCCAGCATTCCTCCATAGCACACACACTGAAGTGCATTTGGGGATGTCAGAGTTGGCTCTCTCAAGATTTAGTAGTTGTGTCATGCTTCCAGCCTATATTGCCTATATCGTTTTCCAGTTAAAGAATCTAAATGATCTGGTGATCCACCATACCTAGTGTTAATTTTCTCTTTTCTCTTCCATTCCTTTGATATAGTATTAGTTAGAGGTTTGACAAATGGTATGAAATCAGGAAGAAAGTCAGAATGGAGACAACTTAGATGATGATGATTATGAGGAAGCCCCAGAGATCTCTAAATGGGAATCAGTGATCTGGCTTGCAATTATGGCAGCTGCGATCTCTATCCTTTCAGAGTATCTGGTTGATGCCATAGAGGTAATGTATGCGGGTAACCTTTTTTTAAAATATTTTATTGATCTTTCTTCCAAGACAGATGACCTTTCTCTTGTTTGCTGGTCTTTGCAGGGAGCATCTCTTGCTTGGGGTGTACCAGTCGCTTTTATTACTGTTATCTTGCTTCCTATAGGTGGGAACACCGCAGCAGTTACAACCTCAGTCATGTTTGCCATGAAAAACAAACTTGTGAGGGATTTTTCTTTCCATTTCTGAAAATTTTTGCAGCTTATCGTTTCCTGTTTAACTGAATTTCTCTGCAGGATGTGTCTTTGGGAGTAGCAATAGGGTCATCAACGCAGATTTCCATGTTTTTGGTAGGTGATTTTCATTTCACAAAGTTCCTTTGTGAACATGTAGGTTGCATTCAGAGGTCAAACCACAGTATTGTTTCTTTCTGATGTATGAGGAAATGATCAAAGATGCCCCTCTACCATAGGCTTTAGCTCATACAGGGAACTTGGGTTGTTCCCATCTTGCATCGTTTGAATGCTTGATCATTCATCTGGTTTTTACTGCAAATCTGCAGTTGTTATTCTTTTTGCCTAGCATGTATCTGAAATTTGTATTATTGTTTACTACAGATTCCCTTTTTAGTGGTTATCGGATGGATATTTGAGCGCCCGGTGGACTTAAACTTTCAACTTTTCGAGACAGCAACTCTGGTCATGACTGTTCTTTTTGTAGCCTTCTTGATGCAGGTATGTATATCAAGAATCCAACTGGAAAAAGTAATAAGAATAAATAAAAATATGTACTAACTCTGAAGAGAGAAGACTGGAGTTCTAGTCTAGAATATGGTAAAATCAAAGGGATAGTCAGAGAAGAGGTCTATCAATGTTTCTCCATCACTCTTTCTTGTGTGAAATATGTAATTCAACCTACACCATGTGTTGTTTCCAGGAAGGAACTGCCAATTACTTCAAGGGACTAATGCTTCTTTTCAGCTATCTGATAGTGTCTGCAAGTTACTTTGTACATGAAGACCCTTCCTCCTGGTTAGTTACCGTTGAGATTTGAGACCCTTCACTTTGCCTGCCTGATATGATTCTCTCCTTCGCTGGTCTTGCTTTCATAGCTGCTGCCTGTCATTGTTTAAGCTATGCTTCATATTAATCGAACCAGTCATAGATTTTGCAGATAATAAGCAACCAACAACAGGATCGATTGGAGCTGTGGTATTACTTAGGAGTAGAATTCTAAACCTACAAGAAGAAAGAAGTGATGAATTATTATGCAACTATCATTCATCACACATGTTAGCCAGCCTAACGAGTAGTACTCCTCGGTCTATTCTCTCTTCTCTTAAAGACTTCTCCAGATGTATATGGAAAATCTGATCTATATATAGGAATGTAAGAAAAATCTTGTCTTTAATTTATGTAATTTAAGATAAGTCGATCAGAATTCACAAAAATCTGTTAAAACTTGGAAGCAATTTGAGAATCAAAGCGTAGCAGATCAGTGAACTCCTGTCCAGGAAAGTAGTCGCAAGAACAACAAACCAGAGAGCTGATAGATGACTTGGGATGGGAAGCTGGTGTAGGCTGCCCTGCTAATCTCCTTCCATGAACAGGCAAAAATCCCTGTTGCATTATTTCCGTCCTGCTTTTCTTTAGTAACTGTGGAATGTTTGTTACTTTGGAAAAACATTGATTCTAGACTTGATGTTTCGGCAAAGAACCAATTTAACTGCATGGTAATCGTAATCGTAATCGTAATCTAATAGAATCTCACTGATTTTATCTTGGAAGATTGCCATTATTATGTTAGCAGCAAACAACTTACTATACCCTGCAGTCCAGTTACTGTTTCACATCAACAGAAATAAAAATTGGTGCATTCATTGCATGGAACTTTTCATAAAGCTTTACAAACGTAGCGAGAACATATTTTTTCTTCGGTTCAATCAAATGAAAACGGCAGATTGTGAAAGAAAATGAAAACAATGAATTGACATGTAGATGTATGTGCTTGTTTTTTCTAAGTGCCCGCCTGCAACAGCCGGTAAGCCTGGCTTATTTTCTCCCACTATATAGACATATACCGTGCAATGGGTTTAATCCAACAGTCTTAAAGATACCATGAAGGAGCGTTGTTTGACCGTTCAAAAACTAAAATATTCTAACCAGAAAAAGGGCGGGCAGCAGAAATAATGAATGAATGAAAGACAAGGAAAGTCGTGAGAAGCAAAAGACAAAATAATGAATGAATGATGGTGTAATTGTTTAATGATTAATGCATCGATAATGGCGTGCACGAAGCTTACAACAAATCAAAGCAGGACTTGGCCGAACGAAAGTTCCAGGAAGGGGAGCAGAAAGTGGGAACAGCAACACCACTCCTTCCAAACCCAAACCCAAACCCAAACCCGAAGATATTTTAAAAACAAGCTAAAAAGGGCAAATGGATCTCCTTTTCAGACATTTTCTATTTTATTTTACATTTTTTATTACTGAAAAAAGATTAAATATTACTTACTAATATTAAAAATAGGAACAGGATCCCGCACGACACATGGATTTTTTCCTTTCTTGTCCAATCTAAATCCTTTGTTAGTGAAGGTTCAACTCAATTCTGTCTTTGCCCCATCCAACCTTTATCACATCATTATTTTTTTTCTTTGTTTTTTCAACCTTAAATCTATGAGGAAGAAAAGGGGTACCAAAAGTTACTAAACTACAAATTCCGACCAAATTGTGCTTAAACTCTAGAATCTGGTCTAATTCGTACGGTCGCCTTGGCCCTTGGGTTTCTGTTTTTTTCTTACCAAAAGAAAAAAAAAGCCATTTTTTTTCTTTTCGGTGAAGAAAAGTATTGAAGTTTTTTGGTTTCTTGGGGTTTCTGATTGATACCCTTGTGAGGGCTTGCAAAGATTTGCAATAAAGGTTGGTTCTTTCTCAGATCCGTTGACGTTAGAGGTCTTTTGTTGGTTTACCTCGTTGCTGTTTCTGTTTCTGGGATTGTTTCTTAGGTGTTGGCATTGATATTTGATGCAATTCCTGCACTTGAAGAAAAAGAAGATAGAAAGTTTCTTTCTTTATTTCGTTTAATGCTTTTGATTGTCTGGAATTGAATCCTTTAATATTTTCGGGGATTGATTCGATGCTGTATGTTTCTAGTAGATGCATATAAGGCTTGGTAATCGAAATCTCAAGTTTGATTTTATTGCTGTATTAATTGATAGACAAGTATAGTAGGGGAATGAAAGATGAGATCTTGATTTGGAATTGTATTACTTTATTGCGATTTTTGGTTATGTTAAGCATACTTGCTAATATTATGCTTTTTTTTTGGGGTTATTTTTGCACAAATTTCAGTTGTGCTTATGATATTTAGACCTTGAGGAATTTAGAAACCAAGCACATGATTTTGTGATGCTTTTTATGTTAATGGCTGTGGAGAACTCACTGCTCTTTTGATACGTGAAGATGGATTACAAGCTGCAAATGGGGGTCGAATCCCACCTTGAAGTACGCAATTCTTCATTTTTAATACTTTACCCTTGTCCATTCTCGTGTTGCACTCTTTTTGTTTTTCTTCACCCTTCTTTTGGTTGGGGGAATATGCATTTTGAGTTGCTGATTCTTTTGAGTGTATTGTAGTCTGCATTTCTAATGAAAAGATGCTTACCCTAGCAGATGGGATCACTAGATCATAGTTCAATGGATGATCTCGATGATGAGTGCCTCTATAACCCTGAAATGGATGCTCAGAAGGCACATTCTACTGATACAATTGAACAAATATCACTTTCTAGTAGTTTGCCAGTTGGTGGTAGGAAAATGATAAGGAATGGTGTCTATAAGAGCATAAAGACCGTAGTTTTCTCAAATAAACTCAACTTGCTCATGCCTTTTGGGCCTCTAGCTATCCTGGTTCATAAAACGACTGCTCATAATGTGAGTTCTTTTTTTGAGCTCTTTCCTTGCTTGTGTGCTTTTTTATATAAGTTGTTGAATTGCTGAGGTGGATTGCAGGGGTGGGTCTTCTTTCTAAGCTTACTCGGTATAACACCTTTGGCAGAGCGTTTGGGTTATGCTACTGAGTAAGGGTTCATGTTCTTTCATTGAATTTGCTCTTTTGATGCTACTGGTTGTTCTATTGGCACCTAACATTGCTTTTTCATTTGATTGAATTCAGGCAGTTAGCTTTCTTCACTGGACCTACAGGTATTTTTTTTAAAAAAAAATTATTCATATGGATTTTTTTTATTATCTGGATTAAGCAACTGGTTTTTGTTGATTTTAAATTGCTTGCCGAAGTGCCTTCAGAGTCTCTCTTGTTAGCACCATTTGGCAATGCTCATTTTGACTTCCTACTCCTCCCTTTTATTTCACGGGAGATAGTGGTGGTATGCCAACTTGATCAGAGGAGGGTTTTGGACAGTGATCCAAAACTCAGATCTTCCAAATACCCTCCCTCCATTTCCTGAGATTTTTGTTATTTTCCTCATTAGGCTTTGGGTGCTTCTTTCATTTGAAGCTTTTACTATTGACGTAATTGACACTAGCACATATTGCATTATCGGTAGGCTTGCCTCTGATTTATATGTATTCTGTCTCTGGCATAAATCAGCTTCAATAACTTCTGTCTGTTAGCAATTTACAAATTTTATGTCAGTAATGGTCTTTAATGTTGAAATGAATTGCAGTTGGTGGACTTCTAAATGCTACATTTGGGAATGCAACAGAACTGATTATTTCAATTTATGCACTGAAAAGTGGAATGAAACGTGTTGTTCAATTGTCATTGTTGGGCTCGATTTTGTCAAACATGCTGCTTGTTCTTGGATGTGCATTCTTTTGTGGTGGGCTTGTATTTCATAGAAAGGAACAGGTTTTTAACAAGGTAATGATATTAGCATGTTGGCTGATTTTATTTCTGCTATTTTTCCTTATTTGATTACTCTAATCTGAACTAAAACTTGCCTTCAGGCCACAGCTGTTGTTAATTCAGGACTGCTGTTAATGGCAGTCATGGGCCTACTCTTCCCAGCAGTCCTCTACTACACACACACAGAACGGCATGTTGGGAAGTCAGAGTTGGCTCTTTCAAGATTTAGCAGTTGTATTATGCTTCTAGCCTATGCTGCCTACCTAGTTTTCCAGTTAAAGAGTCAAAAAGATCTCTACATCCCTATTGATGAGGTTGGTTATATTGTTATTATTATCTTTTAAATATAATAAGTGTTTGTCTTGTTTTTCCGTCTCCAATCATTTTTTGTAGAATAATCAGTGGTCGGGCAAATGGTGTGATAGCAGGAAGGAAGTCAGAATGAGGAGCAGTCAGATGATGATGATGAAGCTCCTGAGATCTCGAAATGGGAATCAATTATTTGGCTTGCGATCATGACTGCTTGGATCTCCATCCTATCAGATTATTTGGTCGACACCATACAGGTAACATTTGGTTCTTAATCTTTCCTCTTCTTATGGATAGCTTAAACTATTTGAGATCATCGGTGACTTAAAGAAATAACTTGTTAAATTATGGAGCCACTGCCAAATTAATCAGTGCATGTTACATTGTCCACTGGTGTTAAAATACTGGTTCATGATATGCATCCACTGGTGTCATTTTTAGGAGCAAATGGTTGATAGGGTGAGTCTGAATCTGCACAAGGAATGGATTTCCCTTAGATTTGGTGCATACTTTAGGGATATAGTTAAACCAGTCTGAACATGGGTCCCTGACTTAAATAGCATGTAAACATGGTAAAGGTCTGCATTTGCTCTTGTTAGTAGTAGATGTTATTAGTTAGCAAGTTTTCAAGATTTGCTTCTTTTTTTTAAATTATATTCTTAAGGGTATATGCTGATTGATTTTGTATGATATATGATCATTCTCTGGTCTGATTGTTCTTTCTCAGGGGGCATCTGAGGCATGGGATGTGCCAATTGCCTTTATTAGTGTTATCTTACTCCCCATTATTGGGAATGCTGCAGAGCATGCAAGTGCTATTATGTTTGCCATGAAAGACAAGCTCGTAAGTGATTCTCTGAACTTTCATTCCTTAAAATTTATATATCTTGCTAATTAATTTAATTTCTTTTCAGGACATATCCTTGGCAGTGGCAATAGGGTCATCAACTCAGATTTCTATGTTTGGGGTAGGTGCTGTACATTGGATGTGCCCATTTTGTATTGATGATATTACACTATGTCATACACTTCCTAATGTCTGGATTTGTTGGAATTACGTTTTGACTTTATGCTTCAATCGCCTTAGTGGTTAACACCAACTACTGAAGCACATATTCTGTTCATATAATATGTGGTCTCTTAGTTAGGGTGACTCATTATTGGCAATTATTTAGCAATTTCGACTCATTATATATGACCAGTGCAAAGTTTAATTTGTTTATAAGTATCAAGATCTTACCACAGATGCCCCTGGCTGTTGCTCATGTAAGGGATTCGATCATGTCTTTGTTGATACCAAAACCTACCAAGTTATGTTGGCCAATACTTTTGAAGATTTCCATGTTTCTTCTTTGCCATGAATACCACAACTTGTTGGCTTTGGTACCAAATAGGCAGATTCTTTGATTGAAATTGCAAAAAGCTGGTGATGATGCTTCGCTGCAATGTGTCATTTTATCTCTGTTTGCTTGATTGGAGCTTCTGACATTTTATTCTTTTTTTTTCCTTATTTTTTATGGCTAATATGTTGGTATTGTTAATTTGTTGTTTGTTTTGCCTTGGGTATCTTGTTGAATCTGCAGATTCCCTTTTGTGTGGTTATTGGGTGGATGATGGGGCGTGAAATGGACTTGAACTTTCAGCTTTTTGAGACAGCAACCCTGTTCATAACTGTTATAGTTGTAGCCTTCTTTCTGCAGGTTGGTATATCTAGCACTTAGGAAAAGAATGCTTTATACTCTAGTAATGGGTATTGTAATCAAGAATGAAAGCAATCTTGAAAAATGCAAAAGAAAAAGAAAATGCAACTCGGAAGATTCGTTTAGCTGGAAGGCAGTGGGAAGTAAATGAAGTCAACTCTTTGTTTGTTTTTGTCTGCAGGAGGGAACATCTAACTACTTCAAAGGATTAATGCTTATTCTTTGCTATCTGATAGTAGCTGCAAGTTTCTTTGTACACGAAGATCCTTCATCAACTGGTCAGTTCTTCCATTTAACTGCTTCAAATCTCTCTTTTGGTTTCTCTTTCATGGCTGTTATTGTTTTGGTATGTAGTATGGATTTTCTTGTAGTTACTGTACTGTAATTGATTCAATGTTACAGGCGAAAGCAAGCAACCAAAAACATAATCAATGAAACAATAGAGAAATTAAGGGGTGGAATTTTGAACCTAGAGGGAGAGGCGGTGGATTCCAAAGAAGTTTGTCCCACGTGCTGCTGTAAATACCTTTGTTCACAGAACATTTTTTTCCAGTTGCTTATGCTTGTTCAGTTAATATTATTGAACAAGTGTCTTGCTCGTTATGTTCTTCTGCATTTGATGCCAAACATCTGTGCAGATGGCGAATTAGAGACTACGTATACTGTAGAAAGGAGGATCCTTTGAATTTTGATCTTATGTAATTCTAATTCTTTTGAACGGCCTTCCCTTTGCATCGCCGCGGGATTGCTTGCAATGAAATCCTTTGTTTTTAATTTTCTAGCACTTTTGTATGCTGCAAAAGGATTCATAGCCAGGAATTGAACCCTCAATTGATCTTAAATAGAATGTATTGCCTATGATATGAATGAACATTGTTAAAACTTTTTCAATTTGTGCAGAAACCAACAGGTGACTTAAAACACTGCCTCTCCTGTCAAAAATGAATAACTTTCATGTCAAACACCAATGGCTTTCTTTCTGCAGAAGATATTCGTGAGAATTTGAGGTTAATGTAAGACCAAGATGCAAACTAAGCTCTTATAATGAAGGAAAAAAAAAAAGTTTAACATGAACCTAGCCGGAAACCAACTTGATAAATAAACCAAATAACTCATGGACCAAGCCCAATGCAACCCAAACTTGATTCAAGCGCAGGGCAGGGGCTCAACAAGTTAAGGTTTGGACCCAAAATCGCCTTTGCCTGCCCAACTCCCAAAGAGCCAATCACACAACTTTAACACTTATGGATTTAAGGCAAAGTTTGTCATATAAATTGATGCAACAAAAAGGGACAAAAAAAGGAGAAAGCAAATGACAAATCAATCTCACTTTCTTTCTCAAGCTGTGTGAGACTAATGGACATGTGAAGGAACTATCATACAGGAGCTAGACTGACTGCTTGAGTTGACAATGACAGAAATATATACATATATATATATATATATGATGTTCATAGTGTTCAAACATCTAACGTGGCCTGCATTGCTGATCTTCTCAAACTAAAAAATTTGGTCTCACTAACGTTACCAAACCTTCAACACGTCTGACCTTTCTTCACTTAATTGATATATGTTAAGGTTCAATGAGAGAAAAAGATCTTCTGAGCAATCATTGTAATCGGATGATTAGATGTACATCGTACTACTTTTATCAACTGCCTATAACCACCTTGCTTTAGCCTGTCAGTCTGCCTTTTCTCTAGTTAACTTCTCTTTCCTTCCATTCGCGAGAATTTCTGTTCAAAAAGACAGTTGTTGGTTGAATAAGAAACATGGGGGAAGAAGGAGAAGACAACCAATCTCCATTGCTGGCAAGTTCTTCCTCAAGCACTGAAGTATCACCATGGCCCGTCGAAAGAACTGGTATTCTTTGACTGATGACCCTTTTCTTTCTTCCTTCTTTTTCCTGGTGACTCTTAAGGATATACAGTTCATTGCTTTCATATCTCCAATTTGTATTGGAAAATATTGCAAGGAGAGAGAAAAACTCAAACCCTTTTTATTTGTTTTCTGATCAATCATATCATCTTTTCTTCTGCCACTTTAACTGCTGTCGTCTTTCTAGGAGAAAGGGTTTTTCCTTATTCAAGTTACTGTGATTTCCTAGGCCTTGATGAAACCTTTCAGCCAAAAAAGGGAAAAATGCTTAATGAACGAAACCGTTAGTTGATTCTGCAGATGTGTTTTTAGTTAGTTGCTTGAATGGTAGTTGCAGTTTGAAAGAGAGATATTTGAGTTTTCCAAACACGCAAGTATCAAGTTAGATAGTAACCTTTGATAATGACAGAAGCTGCCCTGCCATATTTTCAAACATTCTAGCATTACAAGTTTAGTACAAGTCATCATCGTTGTCATGAATTTTCACTCACTGCTTCCGGTTCTGGGATGTTGTCTTATAGCAAATGGTTCATCATTCATGAACAAGTAAGTCTACATAATGGTAATTAGAGAGCTGATTTTCAAATTTGCCTAGTAAAGATTAGGCAGATTTTCAACTACTTCTCTTGTATCTTTCATAAAGCAATCAATGATTCTAGTTCCCATAGATCTAGCTCTTGCCCATGCTTAATCTACTTTCGGTTTTGGCTAACCATTTGAATTATACATAAAATACACTTTGTTTATCTCTTTCCATATTCTGGGGCTAAATTTTTTAAAATTTACTTTTCACATCTTCTGAAGGGACTCTTTGGACTGCAACAGCACACGTCATAACAGGAGTGATAGGGGCAGGAGTTCTATCTCTTGCGTGGAGCACTGCTCAGCTAGGATGGATTGCAGGCCCCATGTCCATGCTTGTCTTTGCAGGCATCACCCTTGTTTCTACCAACATCCTATGTGACTGCTACATGTATCCAGACCCCGAACATGGTCCCAACAGAATCAAATCTTACATGGATGCTGTCAAATTGTATTTGGGTAAGCAAAAAAGCAGTGGTTTTGTGTTTTCCCCCCACTTTTTTTGACCTTTACCAAGTCTCACCATCAGTTTTGACGCACACCTTGCACTTTAACTCAAGTCTGTTGGCCTAGATTGTTATCTTTCAAAGAAATATAAAGTGTGACAGACGATTAGTGTAGGGAATCTGCATGTAGAGAGGCCTACCAGCCCTTTGATTTGTTTTTTTTGCTCAATAGCCCCTTGATTTGTGACCTGTAAAAATTACTCAAATCATGCTATATACTACTATTACACTACTCTATATATAAGACAAGATTGCTTCTTGCGTTAAACTTCATTACTTTGACTACTCTTGCAAGTTTGTGGGGGTCTGATGCAAGAAATATTTCTTTATATGCTCTTTTGATACTGTTCAGTCTGCATTCTTTTTCTGTGGTATTTGTCTGTTTGATACAAGCCAATATTCTCTGATTGTTTAGATTAAGATGAATATATATATATATATATATATATCTCTATATATATATCTATATCGGCATGTTTTAGATTAATATATTCTGGTAATGGAGTAGATAGAATATATGTTAAATAGTGAAGCAAAACAACTAATGCTTCACTCCACATCTCGACCAGTGCCATTTGTGATTTATAGTGGGTAAGCATTCATGGTTTCTGTCTTCTTCTACATTGAAAGGTTGATGGGTTTTTTATCCAACTTCGAGTCCTTTTGATGAATATATACATGTATGAAGGAAAAAGTAATGGAAAAGAAACATTACGCATGCAGGAGAGAAGAGCCACAAAGTGTGTGGAGTAATTGCACAGGAGAGCTTGTATGGGAATGCACTTGCCTATATCATCACCTCTGCTACCAGCATCAAGTATGATCTATATTCTTACTCTTTTTCTCTCTTTAATTACTTTCGATGAATCCGTAGAGAATATAGATGCACCATCCATGTAGGTGTGGATATGGCTTCTTCTTCTTAATCTTGGTTTTTGTTTTTTCTCTTTAAAAGAAAAGAAACAAAAAGGAGTTTCTGTCAATATCTAGATCAGGCTGAAATTCAAGCACCAAACCATGCAAACTTTGTACAATGGTCCATGCTTTCATTTCTAGTGGGCACAAATCAGCAGCTCAAGTGGAGCCATGAGAAATTTTTCATTTTTGGAGTTTTTCTTCTTGGACCAAAACCATCAGGCAATTTGTACCCATAACGGCCCTTTTGAAAACATTGGCCCTTTTGATTGAATTATTAGTTATTATTATTATTCGTGGGACAGGACAGACAGCAGAAATTGGAACCAGTGTGAGAATTGGGCAAGCATGGGGCCCTTTCCAACTTCTATATCAACTTTTGTTTACCTCACCCTCCTGCTCAGCAAATTCGGTAGAATTTGTCTGTTTACACCTTTAGCAATTCTAGGATTAGCATGACCAGACTTTTCTTTCTTTCTTCTTGTTTTTTCATATGAAACATATTAGTAATACTTATAAACATATGAAACATATGAAACATATAAGTAGTTCCCCATTCATCATAGGGGATTCAGAGATATCCCATTTCATCAAAAGGAAATGAACCAAATGCAAAAGCAGTGAATATATCTATTCTTGGTTCACAGCCTCTGAGCTCCATCTGCACAAGAATGGGAGAGCATGTTTTAGATAAGGACCTGCTGTTGTTAATTAATGCAAAGCAAGGGGAAAATTTATATATGGGGTATTTTTAAAAAGATCATTAAATGCTTTTTGGCATAGTTGTTGCTGGTTTCTGTGAAGGAGAATGTGAGGACAACCATGAGGAAGAGATTCCCTTCTCACATGATTACATGGGGTTGGATTATATGGTCTTCTTTCATTGTCCCTCATTTTCAGCTTAAATACGACAAGCAACAACTAGGACGACTAATCTAGTCTTGGCTTTCGACATAGCTTTTTAACCCCCCCTCCAACAAACCTCCGCCATGAATTCTAAGCTTGTTGCCTGCTGGATTCAAAGTTCTCAAAGTTTCAACTGAAATGAAAGGTACTAAGGAAAACAAGTGAAAGTTACTGGCACTAAGAAGGAAAGATTCTGAAGAAAGGTAGATGGTGATGGAGCGATTATCGATTAAGAGTTGCACCTAAAGTTTCATGGAAACTACTCTGATCTTGATTTAGATCTTTGTTTTTCACTTCAATGTAGAAGAAGACTAGCCAACTAACCGCCCACCTACCTCTGATTCCCAATCCTGAGATTCTAAAGCTATGTTGTTGGTCTTATACGATCAATAAAGCGTAATAGGACCAGTCAGAGGAACTGCAACAAGAATGACAACGCATTACTTAATTACGTATCTGGGAGGGCAAGAACTAATCAGTTAGGCAAACTAGCTTAAGACCAAACAAAATATTTTCTGATAGTGAAGCAGTTACTACACACAGGTTCAAGGTTAAGGTTCATCTCTTCCAGCCTCCAGCTGGTAAGTTTTTTGTGTTTACTCAGTAAATTTTTGGGTGTCGATTAACTTACACTCTCTCTCATCTCATTCTTTAATTTCTTACCACAATTTCTGAGAATTCAATGTCTACATATGAGGTCCTTTGACTTTGTGGTTTGTAGAGTGAGGAGTGAGCCCAGGGAGTAAGAGAGAGGACCCAGAGTGAAAGCAAAGAAACGTTTTATCTTGAATTGTCCAAGTAGCCCATGTCATCATATGATCAAGAACGATAGGTGAGTAGGAAAAACTTTTAAGATTAGAAAGTTCCCATTCCACTTTTCTTACAATTGCTTCAAGCAGTTGCTAACTTGGGCAGTGTCTATATATGATGGATCTTCTCGTCTATATTGAAGAAACCGCCTCATGAGTGACGCTCATTGAAGTGTTTTTCCGTGATCAAATAACTTAAGTCAAGGAGTCAAACGAAAGACGGAGGGGATGTGAATCCATTTGAGAGAGACAAGTAACAGATAGGACTCCATAGACTGCTTTTTTAAGGGCTTGTGCTTCATAATATTCCACCGCCTACTTTGAACTGGAATACAATGGCAGTTCAGCACTCCCTCGAGCTTAGTAATGGCGGTTGTGACAATGATGGACATCCTGCAAGAACGGGTAATGGCGCTCTTACGACTACAGCGTTTCATTTAGTACTATTGATGCTTTTCTTTTCGTCCAACCTTTGAAATTAATCTTTCGGTGTGTGTGGGAACTCGATTCATCAGGAACCTTGTGGAGTTGCGTTGCTCACATAATCACTGCTGTTATCGGCTCTGGAGTTCTGTCCTTGGCATGGAGTACTTCACAGCTAGGATGGATAGCAGGGCCTACTGCCCTGCTCATTTTTGCTATTATGACCTATATTTCCGCCTTCCTTCTTTCTGATTGTTACCGATCCGATGATGGAACACGAAATAAGTCTTACATGGATGCTGTTAGACTGTATCTCGGTAGTTAAAAGCTAAACTTTCACTCTTCTTTTTTCTTATTAAAATCCCTCTCTAGTTTCTATGGTGGGAACTTCTGATCGAGTGAAGTACTTTTGTCCTTTTAGTAGGTATCATCCTATGAAGTCTGATATGGTTAACTGATAGTTCAGGTAGAAAACGGACTTGGTTGTGTGCTTTGCTTCAAAACCTGAGCCTGTATGGGACTGATATTGCTTATGTAATTACAACTTCAACCTGTATGAGGTACTTGGTGAATCCCTTATACCCGATTATATATCATCATATTATCAGCTCTTTGCAGTGGAAAGTGTAGAATTTGTAATTAGTATTTAAGAAATCTTGAGGTCGACACACCTCTATCTTTTCTCCTTTTCCCCTACTTTTCTTTACTGTTAATTTCTACTGGCTTCAGATTGATAAGGAATAAGGATCCATAAGACTGATGGTTTTGTGTTTATTTTTCATTTTGGCCTAATACAGAGCAATTCAGAAATCAAACTGTTACCATAGAGAAGGGCATAATGCTCCATGTTCATATGGAGATACTCCCTATATGCTGCTGTTTGGAGCTGTACAGGTTGTAATGTCACAGATACCAGATTTCCATAACATGGAATGGCTTTCAGTGGTTGCTGCAATCATGTCTTTTACTTACTCTTTCATAGGATTTGGACTTGGGTTTGCACAAGTGATAGGTACAGCTATGAGTTTGCACTCCAATTTCCTTATTTCTGTTACTTATTCAAACTTACTGATGCCCCATCAGACATCCCAATCTCATATTTCTATTACTGATTGAGACCTGAGAAGAAATTGGTAATATCTATCTGTATGGCACCAATATAACTATCTGACTTAGTCAAAACAACAAACAAAAATCTATAGCTCAAAAGTTATATTTTATTTTTGATATCCTGGGTTTATCAGACAACAGAACTGATAACTGGAGTATGACTTGATTTGCATTTAAGACTTATGTTTCCAATTGCAGAAAATGGAGAGATTAAGGGGAGTATAACTGGAGTGCCTGCTGCTAGTATTGCTGATAAACTGTGGTTATCATTCGAGGCACTTGGAGACATTGCATTTGCCTATCCATATTCAATCATTCTTCTAGAAATACAGGTATGGCTTCATTTCCTTCCAAAAACAAGAAATTTTCACCATTTAAGCAGAAACCACTTACGTACCTGGGATGTTAAACTGAATCATGGAATTGTTTGAATGAAGGATACTTTGAGGTCACCTCCACCAGAGAACAAGACCATGAAAAAGGCCTCAATGATTTCAATCTTTGTAACAACCTTCTTCTACCTCTGTTGTGGATGCTTCGGATATGCTGCCTTTGGCAACAACACACCTGGAAATCTCTTGACAGGATTTGGATTTTACGAGCCTTACTGGCTCATTGATTTTGCTAATGCTTGCATTGTTCTTCACCTGGTGGGAGGATATCAGGTACTTGTTCATGCTAGATTGCAATTCCTTAAATCTTGGAACATATCTCGCAGTGTTAATAGGATTGATACTGTTGCTTACAATCATGTTTCACCTCCTGTTTTTCCTGTCAGATTTACAGTCAGCCAGTGTTTGCATTTGTGGAGAGATGGTTTACTGAGAAGTTCCCAGGCAGTGGATTCGTGAATAAGTTCTATACATTCAGAGTCCCATTGTTGCCTACGTTTCAGATTAATCTTTTCAAGATATGCTTTCGAACAGCCTATGTTGCATCCACGACTATTCTTGCAATGATCTTCCCATACTTCAACCAGGTCCTAGGAGTGCTCGGGGCATTGAACTTTTGGCCCTTAGCCATATATTTTCCAGTGGAAATGTACTTTGTGCAGAAGAAAATTCAACCCTGGACCACAAAATGGATTGCTCTCAGGAGTTTCAGCTCTGTTTGCTTGCTTGTGACAATAGTGGGCTTGATAGGGTCGATTCAAGGGCTTATTAGTGCAAAATTAGGATAGCAGTTCACTGTAATCACCTCATGACTATAAAGGAAAGCTATACATATTATGTCTGCTGGAAAATTAAGGTTTATTGCTTGGTTTTTATAGAGCAAATGAATTTCATTAACTCCAAGCTTGATATTGGATTATACAGATATCAAGCTTTTCGAAATAGAGCTAAATCTACAAATGTATCAAGTTCTTCATACAGCAGAAAAGAATGCCACATTCTGCAGTCAATTTGTCTTTAATTTTCCTGATTGAAACAAAGGAAAAAGGGAAGTTAAAGCTAAAGTTTATAAGGCGGAAATAAGATATCTTGGTACATATAATTCGCCATTGTTTTATATTCAAAAGGGTGAACTAATACAATAAGTCCCTTTGCATTTCTTAAAATGGGTAAATACATGTTTCTCCACAGTAGTTTCGGCAAACTACTTCCACCACTAACAAAATCTTAATGTGAAGGCACAAAATTTCTTTCCCTCATGAGGAGAAGCAAGTTTCCTTCAAAACTCGTATATTTGGCCAAAAAAAACATATAAACAGAATACAGTTGAACAATTCACATCCATCCATCTTAATGTTGAGAATGACTTCTTTGCTATCCAATTCTCAGTATCAGACATTAATAACAGCTCCTGCTAATGGTATAACAAAGGGTATTTGTCTCTTCTCAAGCTGCTTTAAAGCTCTCTGACAATACCTGGTAGAACTGTTTTTGCTGTTCCCAGATGATCAAGATATTAAAAATAGATTAATTACAGAATTACCTAGTCAATGCTATCAAGAATCTTTTCATCAGAAGCCATAATTGCGTGAGTGAAGATAAAATATACCTTATCGGAGACCGACGGTGAGATTTTACTCAATGCTCGCTCAAAATGGAATGCCTTGATTGTCAATGAAGTCTCTGAGATCCCGGTTGATGTGAGTTTCTCTTCCAAAGCAGCCATCGCAGCTTCATTCATCTGAATATTTTCAAGCCCAATTTGATTAAAATTTTGTTTCAGGATTATGGTTTAAGTTCTTATAGAAGTACAATGTGCACAAGACACTTAGTTCAAGTCTAGAGCTGTGAAACAGGTCAGGGGTTTTTTTGCAGAGTATTTTACATTCTGGGCTAGCCTTAACATGTCTTGTGTTTAATGAGGAAACATCAAAATGGTATATTAGTCTTTCAGGAAAAACCAGTCCCTACATAGTACATAATTTCTGGGACTGCAATGTAGAACGGGGCTTCTGTGTATACATGGCTAATTGACTACTGCTGAAGGGGAAAAAAAACAAGAACGAAAGAAAGAAATTCTGTTAGTTGTTTCCTAATGGCAGTTGTCTCCAAGAATACTGATGAAGCGATGCAGCAAAGGCAGCCCCCACAAAAGGTTTCAGAAGATGTTTTCAATTGTCAACTTCACTCAAGCAAAAAAATAAAATGCAGGCATACCAGTGCAGAAAGATCAGCCCCACTTAAATTTTCACAAGCCTCCATATGTCCAATGGCACTCAAATCGACACTGGCATCTATTGGCTTCTTCCTAGCAAGAGCTTTCAAGATCAACCCACGTTCATCTGCATTGGGAATGGGACATAGAGAAGTTTGCCGAACCTACCAGGCCGTAAGACAGCACGATCCATCACCTCAGGTCTGCCATAACAAATGCCAAATCCAAACTGAGTAAAGAAAAGATAAGAGGTCATCCTTGTTCAAAAAATGGAAAACAACAGATTCTACCTATTAGTGGCACCAATAACATATACACCACGCCGCTGATCTGCACCATCCAACTCTATGAGTAACTGCAATTATGACCGATGCTTCCATGTCATTCTTTGCAATTTGAAAATTGGTAATACAGAAAAGACAAAAAGTCGATCATGAGTTCATTTAGAGATTACCATTACAGATTATCTAACCTGGTTCAGAAGTCGCTCAACAACCCATCCCCCCTCTGTTCCACGCTTTGTGGTCAAAGCATCCACCTACACATTATCAGAAAGGCCTCAAAAATATCAAATCTCAAAACATTAGGAGTAGTAATACTTTCTCTAGAATTCTTTCATTTAGAAATGGAAAAATAGAGGACCATAAACCTCATCAAAAAAAAGTATGCATGGTGAACATGTCCTAGCACGGCTGAATAATGTCCGAACTGCCAGCTCACTTTCTCCAACATATTTATTCAAAAGTTCAGGGCCCTGATCAGCAAATGCACTCATGGTCATTAGATTTCAGTGTAACACAAACATAGGAAATTAGCTTACAGGATTAAAGTACCAGTTAACATCATCTTTAACAAACAAAATGCAAACAAGAGATTGAAAACAAGTGGAAATATACGCTGTAGACTGACCTTGATGTGGATGAAATTGGCTCCAGCCTCATTAGCAACAGCCTTTGCAATCAAAGTTTTACCACAGCCTGGTGGTCC